AAAGCCAGAGAGGCCCAGAATTCCCCAGTGTCAGGTGAACCTGGGGTCTCCCACCCAATAGTTCAATCCAGAATCCCAGAAGTCCCTTGGAGTTCTGAGCCACAACTGCCCTCTAAGCACATCAATGGTTCAATCCAGGCCTCAGTTCACCTGCCTTTCACTCCCCAGGATAACTCCCAGGCCTCCCTGTTTATCTCCATCTTTGGAACACACCATCTTTTGTCCAAATAAGGAAAGGGGAGAGGCAACTCAAAATGACCTGGCCCAGGACCTCCCTGGTGGTGCAGGTGGTTAAGAGCAGCGCTGTGAAGCTATCCGCAGCCTCTGTCATGCGAGTTCAACCCCAGCCAGCTGGGGACATACCCACATGGCATGGCAGACCTCTCCTGTCTTGCCCACTGCTCCCCTCAGCAGTGCACTTCAGCAGATCCGCCTGTTCTGCTCCCCATTCTGTCTCTGATGAATCCTCTTGACCTCCCTCACATCTGGCCTGTACCCCGGTTTCTGAGCTGACCAATCAGAGGAGACAGCCTCAACTCCCACATTCCAATTCTGTTTATCCCCCACCATTCTGTTTCCTTCCACTGGGTAGGATTCCCTGTCAGTTGGTTCTACTCCATCTATTCCATTCAGAATTCCAGAAAATTCTATCTGGGGAACTAGGGAAAGGCAGCTTGGTGTTGATTACAGGAGGGAATTCATTTTTTAAAAAGATTTTATTTATTTATGCATACAAGAGCTGGGGTGTAAGCCAGAGGTGTGGGGGCAGGGTGAAAGGATTCACCAGAGACAGAATGGGGAGCAGAACAGGCAGAGGGACCAAAAACTCTGCTGAGGGGAGCAGCGGGCGAGTCAGGAGAGGTCTGCTGCACCATGTGGGTCAGCTCCCTGGCTGGGGATGGAACTAAAGCTGCAGTGACTGCCCATAGCTTCACTGTGCTGAGAGTTAACCCCTTGCACCAGCAGGGAGGCCCCAGGAGGGAATTCTTAAGAGGAGAATCCCTCATTCAGCTGGGGCCTGGGGCAACCTCATGGGTCCAGTTACTGAGGTCTCCAGAGGAACCACTGCAAAGTGCTCAGGCACTGAACAAAATGAACGTGAGCTCGGTTCTGGGCTCTGCCGCATACTAGTTGTGTGACCTTGAGCAAGTTGCTTAAATCTCTGATCCTCTGTCTTCTGAACTGTAAAATTGGGATTTGTGATCTATTCACTGAGTTGTGAGGATTAAAAAGGAATAAGGCACATAATAGGCTCAATACATGGTGGGTGGTCAAGACCAGCACCCTGTCATTTGTTTGTTCTCAGAAGCAGTGATCTTGCTCGGGATTCCTTGTCCCAGAAGGGGTGAAAAATAAAACTGTCATCTACTTAGCACCTACCGTGAAACTATTACTAGTTCCACTTTACAAATGTGGTGTCTGAGGAACAGACAAGTTCAATTACTTGAAGTGGTAGAACTGGGGCACATTTTCATACCTTGGGACTCCCAAGTTCACACTCTGAACCACTGTACTATCCCGCCTCACATTAAACCCATTTTCAGATAAGAAATGCTGAAGTTGGGCCTGCCTGGTGACGCAAGGGGTTAAGACGCAACCTATGAAGCTATCAGCAGCTGCTGCGACACAAGTTCAATCCTTGGTCGGGGAGCTACCCACATGGCACAGCAGACCTCTCCTGACTCACCCACTGCTCCCCTCACCAGTGTATTTCAGTCAGTCTGCCTGTTCTGCTCCCCACCCTGTCTGTGGTGAATCCTTTCACACACACACCCCACACCTCTGGCCTGTACCACAGTTCCTGTATGCATTAATAAATAAATCCTTTTTAAAAATGCTTAAGTTCAAAGGGGTTAAATTCACACTACACAGAACAGGGGTGCACCTACGACTCCACATCAGCCAAATGATGCCCAAGTTCCTGCAATTTCCACTGTTGTGTGCTGCCCCCTAGTGCCCTTACAGGAGAAGCACATGAAAGGCAAGCAGCAGCCAATGAAAGAGGCTGGAGACCCACAAGCCCCAGACCCACTCCTCCTCCCCAAGGCCAAAGCAGCAGGCCTTGCAGCTTCTGTGATTGGCATCCACATATACAACTGTGATAGTTCTTGACTAACTCACAAATCTGCAAATTTAACAGGTGTATAACATCCAGTTTATACCCCAAATCTCCAGTCATCTCCATCCAACCCAGTTGCATAAGCCAGAAACCCAGTCATCCTTGACACCTCCTTCTTCCCCCAACTCTGTTACCACCCCAGGAACCTGAATGGTGACAGAGGAAGGAGACCAGAAAAATAAAAGTTGAATAGAGCAGAACAACAGCAGTTGGATGGCGAGGACCAGGACAATGGCCCCAGGTCATGGCCAAGAGGCAGAGCTGAGCTCAGGTGGCTTTGGCTAGGAAGGCAGGTCTCACTACCTAGACAGAAAACCAGATACAACTTTAAGGACTGGGACAAGGGCACAGTAAGGAGCCCTGCACTGGGAGCCAGAAGGCCAGGATTCCTGCCCTGCACCTCTACTCCGTCACATTTTGCCTTCCACAAATGACCTAACCTTGATATGCCTCAGTTTCCCCATCTCTAACATGCATAGAACAATGCCTACCTGTAGGGCTTTGGTAAGGATCAACTAAAAAGGTGAACTGCACAAGAGAGGTGGGTTATTGCCTGGAAAATTCACTCTCGTCGACTTCTCTTTCCTTTGTCATGTCAAATTCTGGGCCAATAAGTATACCTGAATTTGTTTTCAAGAGTGTCATGATTTGGGGCCTCCCTGTTGATGTAGGGCTTGAGTCTCAGCGCTATCACACTATCACACTATCACTGCTGCAGCCTGAGATCGATCCCCAGCCAGGGAGCTGACCCACATGGCGCAGCAGACCTCTCCTGTCTTGCCCACTGCTCCCCTCAGCAGAGGATCTCAGTAGATCTGCCTGTTCTTCTCCCTGCTCTGTCTCTGGTGAATCCTCTCACCCACCTGCACCTCTGGCCTACACCCCAACTCTTATGTATTTTTTATTTTTAAAGATTTATTTATTTATGCATACAAGAACTGGGGTGTAGGCCAGAGGTGTGGGGGGTGAGAAGATTCACCAGAGACAGAGTGGGGAGCAGAACAGGTAGATTGACTGAAATACACAGGTGAGGGGAGCAGCAGGCGAGACAGGAGAGGTCTGATGCACCATGTGTGTTGCAACCTGGCCGGCTGGGAGATCAAACTCTTGCTGCAAAGGCTGTGGATAGCTTCACAGTGCTGTGCTTAACTCCTTGCACCACCAGGGAGGCCCAACCCCAACTCTTGTATGAATAAATAAATCTTTTTATAAAAAAAAGTATCATAATTTGGGCCTCCCCGGTGGCACAGCGGTTGAGCACTGGGTTGCGAAGCTGCCCGCAGCCTTTGCAGTGTCTGTTTGATCCCCGGCCGCTCCCCGGCCACCAGAGGAGGGTCCCACATGGCACACAGACCCCTTCTGCCGCCCGCTGCTCCCCTCAGCAGTGTACTTTGGTCCTTCTGCCTGCTCCTCTCCCTGCTCTGGCTCTGGTGAATTCTCTCACCCTCCTGCACTTCTGACTGTACCCAGTGCTTGTATAAATAAATAAATCTTAAAAAAAAAAGTATCATAATTTGAGTTTTTTTATTATGGTAAAATATATATATATATAAATACAAAATTTGCCATTTAACCATTTTTATTTTTAAGGATTTATTTTTATTTATTTATGCATATAAAAACTGGGATGTAGGCCAGAGGTGCAGAGGATGAGAAGATTAACCAGAGTGGGGAGCAATACAGGTAGATCCACTGATATACACTGTTGAGGGGAGCAGCAGGTTGTGAGACAGGAGTGGTCTTCAGCTGTCATACTCTTACTTATTAATCTACTGCATTTTAGATACAACAGAAGCAGGATTTGTGTAGTGTGCTCCTGTACATTTGCAGCTAAACATGTTCTGGAAAAGATACAACTGCGGAGACAGAAAAAGACCAGTGGTTGTCAAAGGCTGAAGTCGGGGGGAGGGACTGATGACTGAGGGGTTTAGAGGAATTTTGGGGGGTGATGGAACTGATCTATGTCTTGATTGTGGTGGTAGTTACATGCATTTTCCAAAACTCATAGAACTGTACACTAAAGGGTGAATTTTACTGTATGTAGCTTTTCAGTAGGAGTTTAGTCTGGACCCTGCAGTTGCTCCCTAAAAGTCACTTTTTACTGGGACTGTCATTGTTATTAAGTTGTTATTAAGGGGATCAGGCTAGTCTGAGACCTGACTTTTTTGTTTCCCAGTGAAGCTGCCTCTTACAAAGACACATGGGATATGGTGATCATGGCGCATTTTGGCCACCTGCCCTGATTCCAGATACTTCTTTCAGGACTACATAGGTGACCCCCACTCCTCCATGTACTTCCAGAGCAGAGGTACTTCACCTGCAGATTTCCTGCCCGTCCCACAACAGAAAACAGGAACCCACCAGATGGGCCATCAGGGCAAAGGGAGAAATTCCAGCCCAGTCTGGCATTCAAGAGATTATTAGCTGAGCACCTAGCATATGCCAGGCCCTGCGTTGGGCACCAGGAGCCTAGCGCTGTTCTCGGGAAAGAGACAGAGACAAGAAAATAACAGTGTGTTGAGTGTTGGGATAAAGAAGTACGGGGAAACGTATAAATCACACGGCCGAGAGGTCCGGGAAGGCAGCAGACATGGCTTGGAGCGGGGCCTGTGAGGTCCAGGAAAGCGCTCGGCCGGCGCTCAGGGGCCGCTGGGGCCACAGGCCCACTCAGCAGATCCGCAGACACCGCCTCCGTCCCCCCTCCCCGCCAGGCTTCGCTTACCCGGACTAGGCCCCGGGTGACTCCCCGGCGCGGGCCCGTCCGCCCAGCCCCGGGGCGGGGCCTCGGCCCAGGTGCGCGGCGGCTTCGCGGAGGCAGGAAGTGTGTCCCCAGCGGCGGCCCGTGCGGCGCTCCCGCGAGACGCTCACCTGCGCCCCAGGTGAGCGGCGAGGGGGGCGGGGGAGGGGCCGAGCCGGAGGCGGCTCACCTGGCGGGACAGGTAAGCCCCGCGCGGGCCGAGGGGGCGCGAACCAGGGCGGCGCCAGCGTGGAGAGACCCTCGAGGCAACGCCCGGGCGGGGGAGCGGCCCGGGACAGGCTCCTCGGGGCCACCCTCCCACTTCCGGGGTGCGCGGGCCGGGCCGGGGAGCGGCCGAGCGGGCGCCTGGGTCGCGCGGGCAGAGTTGGGTGAGGGGTGGCCGGGTTTACGCGCGGGGCTGCGGCGAGAGCGGTGCTCGCCCCCGGGGCGGCGTCGGGACGGGAGGGGGCGGTGCTCGCCCGGGGACTGGTGTCAGGCGGGAGGGAGGCTGGGTCCGCCCGCGGGCGGAGGGCCCCAGCAGCTGGAGAGGTGTGCCCGCCCCGAGGGCACTGCTGCTGTCGAGGCTGTGCTAGTCCGACGGGCAGTACCAGGATCTGGGGCGCCCTTGTCCCGGGACTAGGTGCCCGCGGATGCGGGAGTCGCGGGCTGAGCCTTTGGGCCAGATGAAGGGTGCGCGGATGCCTGGTGCTGGGGTCGACGTCTGTTTCTTGGGCAGGACTGGGGCGCCCCTCCCGGCCCGGCAGTGGGGCAGAGGCTGGCGCGGCCCGATCTGTCTTGGGGACTGCGGGAGGAGAGGGTCGCGTGGAGACAGGCCCCTGAGTGCCCGTGGAGCTAGACCCCCCGCGCTGGGGGTGACCGAAAATGCAGCCCCTCCCGGATGCCAGTCATCAGGGATGTCTCAGTTAGTCCTCCTGGTGGCCCACGAAGACACTACTCTCTCCCCTTGTTCTAGATGAGAAAATTGAGGCCAAGAATCTTGCCCAGGCAAGTGGGGAGTGAGCTTCCCTCACAGAACCAAAGGAGCGCTAGGGCTTGGGAGGCAGGATGCAGGAGATATAACTTGTACAAAACGGGCTTAGGATGATTTTAGGAGGGTTCAGGACCAAGAAGAGAGGGAAACTAAGACTAGGCACAGTCCTTACCCCAGTTCTTGTGCTCTTTCCCTATCCCGCCCCTATTCAAAATGTGTGGCACCTGCAAAGCATGTGGGCTCTGGAGTCTGGGGACCACAGTTCAAATCCTCCTCCATCCCTTTCCAGCCAGGTGTCTCTTTCACCTCTGAGCTTCCACACACCTGATATGAGAGGGAGCTATAATACCTGCAGGGCAATGTGAGTGCTGAATAAAGGGCAAGTCCCCTTGGGCTGGAGCCTGTTTCTTGCCCATTCACGTCTGTTCCCCCAGCATTTAGCACAGTGTGATTGGGGGAGGTGGGGAGGGGGTGGTAGGTGTTCAGTAAATGTCTGTTGGATGGATTTAATAAATAGTGAATCCTGAAGCCTTGGAGGTGGGGGAAGAGAGTGACCCAGACCATCATCAGTAAACCCTTGATGCTCTTACAAACCCATTACCCCAGAATTCAGAGTGGTTGAAACGGTACAGATGTGGTCATCTTCTCATCTAAGACCTGAGACTGGAAGGCTCAGGGCTGCCTGTGTGGGCACTTGGGCACTGGCTTGTCCATGGAGCGGGCAGAGCCACTTTCACTGCCCTGTTCTCCCAAGTAACCAATGGGATGGGGTAGCAAAAAGGAGTCTGGGCCAGACGCTTGGGTCCAAGCAGATGTGTGGCTACTTATTTATCCTCTCTGTCTCAATATAGTAATGATAACAATTATACCTACCAATAGGGCTGTGAGAAGTAATTGATTTAATGCAAGTCACCACAAATCAACTCTCACTAAAGTGCAAACTCCTGAGTTTAGGGAATTTGGTCTGTTTTACCACTGTGTCCATAGAATTTAGAGCAGTATCTGGCACACAGTAGGCCCTCAGTAAATGTTTGTTAATTGAGTGAATGAATGAATCCATATCCATCCCAGTACTCAAACCAAGGCTAAGAATTTCACCACTTGTCTCTCCGGGTTGTTAACGATTTTAAAGTCACATCTTACAATTTCACTTTTCACTTTCTTCCCCCACCCCAGACTACTGCTCCCCCAGTCCAGTCACACTAGAGCCTAAGTCCTTTCTCCTTTTCCTCAAAAGCCCTAGTTGTACTATGTGTCAGTCCCCAAAAGCATTTCTTGTACCTAATCCTGTTCCGGACACTGAGGCAGAAGGAATCAGACAGCGTCCCTGTCCCTCGGGACCATACATACTCCTCTTCAAACAATGGGCTCAAAGCCGACTCAGCTGACAGAAAGCCCAGAGAAGAATGTGGGGCTCCCATTAACTTGGGTTCCGGAGGGTGCTTGGCGAAGGAGTGGGGGCATGGGCTGAAGGGTTGTAGGAGTAAAGAACTGTAGCCTTCTCCGCACCATTCCCATGGCTGATAGTCCCTGCCTCCCTTTTTGTCTTTCTCTGTTTACATATGCCTTCTGGTTTCCTGTGACCCTTTTGACATTAGTTTACAGACATCATGCTCCGTAACCCCTAAATGCTGTTATATATTTCCTAAGAATAAGAATATTATTTTACATAACTATAGTAATCAAATTCAGGAAAGTTAACATTGACCTAATACTATTAAATATAGTCTATTTTCATATTTCACCAGTTATCTCTTTTATCCAATTTCCAATTTTCTCTCTTGATCCATGTAGTTGTCATGTCCATCAACATGGGTTTACTTTGCCTGATGCTTCCTCATGATTATATTCAGGTTGGGCATTTTTTGTCAGGACTACTTTGTAAGTCATGTGACCCTCCTTACAGTCCTCCATTGTAGCAGGAGGCATGGATGTTGGTTTGCCCCATTATTTGATATTAACTTTGATCATATGATTAAGGTGGTGTCTGCCAGATTCTCCAGATTTTTTTTTTAAGTTCTCACTGGCTGCTACAAGAAGAATGGAATGGAGCTAGCCAAAATGGGAGTCTTGATAGTATCTGAGTGAGAGGTGATGGTAGCCTTGTTTAGGGAGATGACATTGATTTGCCTGCGGCATGTTGCCTATTAGAGCCAAAACCGGAACTGGAACACAGACATCTGCTATCTAGCCCCAGATTCCTTGCCCATCGCCAATTCTGAGAACCCAGTGCCATCAGGGATAAAGAAGTAAGGAATCAGGTACTCCCTGGTGGTGCAAGGGGTTAAGAAGCAACCCATGAAACTATCCGCAGCCACTGCAGCACAAGTTCAATCCCCGGCCAGGGAGCTGCCCTCATGGTGCAGCAGACCTCTCTTATCTCTCCAGCTGCTCCCCTCAGCAGTGGATTTCAGTAGATCTGCCTGTTCTGCTCCCCACTCTGTCTCTGGTGAATCCTCTCACCTCCCCACACCACTGGCCTGTACCCCAGTTCTTGTATGCATAAATAAATATTTTTTTAAAAAACTACAAAAAAAAAGAGAAGGAATCAATGTCTCAGAAAGCCCAGGCTAATCCTAGTTGCTGCCCAGTAAACCCTACACATGATAAGGATCCTCCTAAATACATCACTAGACAATGTTCCCTAATTCCTCAGGCAGTTATTTCCTCCCATAAAGCCTCATTTATCCATCTTAAGAACTTTTAAACATCTTTTCCCTACAAAAGCATGTGGAAATCACAAGGGCAGGGTCTATAATTCATTCATCTTTGGCCTACAATACCTAACACAGAACCAGGCTCAGTGCTTATGGAATGGAGTCTTAGCTCTGAGCCTACTAGCAACCCAGCTAAAAAGGGAAAGATGCTATATTTTGTGGCCCAGCTTTTTTGTCTAATCAAAGGCAGCAAAAAGTACTTAGTGTTAAATGCTGCTAGAAGAGCAAACTTGAGCTGGACTGAAATATTTTTTTTTAAGATTTATTTATTTGTAAAATCTTATAAAGCAATGGGTACAGTCAGAAGCACAGGAGGGTGAGAGAATTCACCAGAGCCAGAGGGGAGAGCAGAGCAGGCAGAAGGACCGAAGTACACTGCTGAGGGGAGCAGCGGGCGGCAGGAGAGGTCTGCGCGCCATGTGGGACCCTCGCCTGGCGGCTGGCACTGCAGAGGCTGCGGGCAGCTTCACAACCCAGTGCTCAACCTCTGCGCCACCAGGGAGGCCCTGGACTGAAATATTGACAGCGAGCTGTTACACTTCCATGTCAGTTCTGAAGGGAGGGGCTGGAGAAGGGATGGGGGCAATGTGGTAAAGATCAAGTTCTGTAGCGAGTCACATGGAAGGAAGGACATTTGTTGAGCAGCCTCCTAGGCTCTGTGCTGGCTGGGCTTGCCAACAGTGGGAAGAAACTGGGGGAGACCATTGCCCAGAAGCAGGATCCCAGGACATATGTTTGTATATCTGTTGCAGAATATATATCCAGAAGTGGAATTGCTGGCTCATATGGTAAGTCTACATTTTTCAGAGGGGTCGCCACGCTGTATTCCTCAGCAGCCGCTCCATTTTACATTCCCACTGGCTGCGCACCAGGGCCCCAACTTCCCCACATCCTCACCAACACTTGCTATTGCCTGCTTTTTCAAGAGTAGCCATCCCAGATGTTGACGTGTAGGTTAGACCCAGAGAGAACTTCCTCTTCGGGGAGCAGAGGAGCACTAGATGAGGGTTGTGGGCACTCTTGGGCCAGTCCACACCACAAACTGCTTAGAAACCAGAGCCTGAAGCTCCTCGGTCAGTGCAGGAGCTTGCCTCGCCCCTGACCCTGACTCCTCCTCGGCCTCTCACCCTCAGGTGCTGGCTGCAGCAAACCATGAGATGAGCCATGCCCCGCCCTGGACACCCCCGCCCATCATCTGGGCCCCCACGCTTGGGACCCTGGGAGCGTCCATCAGAGCTATGTCTGGAGACATATGAGGAGCCATCCCGGCACCCACCAAGCCGCCGCACCCGTAAAGCAGACCCCAAGGACCCTGGCCACCATGGGCCTGAGAGCCTTACCTTCATCTCTGGCTCTGCTGAGCCAGCCACTGAGCCCCCAGCCTGCTGCCTGCTCTGGCGACCCTGGGTGTGGGACTGGTGCCGGGCTGCCTTCTGCTTCCGCCGCTGCCGGGATTGCCTCCAGCGCTGCGGAGCTTGTGTTCGGGGCTGCAGCCCCTGTTTGTCTGCCGGGGACTCCACTGAGGGGGCTACAGAAGCCAGCTGGGCCAAAGAGCACAATGGAGTGCCTCCCAGCCCCGATCGGGCACCCCCTAGTCGGCGGGACGGCACGAGGCTCAAATCAAACATGGGCAGCAGTTTCAGCTACCCTGATGTCAAGCTCAAAGGCATCCCAGTGTACCCCTACCGCAGCACCACCTCCCCAGCCCCCGATGTGGACTCCTGCTGCAAGGAGCCACTGGCAGAGGCCCCACCCATGCGGCACAGCCTGCCTAGCACCCTTGCCAGCAGCCCCCGGGGCTCTGAGGAGTACTACTCCTTCCACGAGTCGGACCTGGACCTGCCCGAGATAGGCAGCGGCTCCATGTCGAGCCGAGAGATCGACGTGCTCATCTTTAAGAAGCTAACGGAGCTGTTCAGCGTGCATCAGATCGACGAGCTGGCCAAGTGCACGTCAGACACGGTGTTCCTAGAGAAGACCAGCAAGATCTCCGACCTTATCAGCAGCATCACCCAGGATTACCATCTAGATGAGCAGGATGCCGAGGGGCGCCTGGTGCGTGGCATCATTCGCATCAGTACCCGAAAGAGCCGCGCCCGTCCGCAGACCACAGAGGGGCGCTCCTCCCGGGCGGCCGCCCTTACTGCTGCTGCCCCGGACAGTGGCCATGAGACCATGGTGGGCTCAGGGCTAAGCCAGGATGGTAGGTGGGGACCCGGGACTGAGGGGCAGAATGGAGGAGGCTCTGGCCAAGGGAGGGTTGCAATGCAGTCTTGGGCCACTGTGGGGCCACCCCTGAACCATTCCCTGCTCTCTCCTTTGTCCACTTCTCTGCATCCCTTAAGGGGCCCCAACTCCTGCTACCACCTGCCTGCTACCACCTGCCTTCTTGGTTAATAGGACCCAGGAACCCATATGAATTTTGACCCCTGACCTGTCCTGATCTAACCAGAAGTCTCACCCACCCTCGTACATGTACATGCATGCACGCGCCTGGTTTTTTGTTTTTCTTTAACCTTATTTCTCTAGTCCTCATTGGGCTGGGAGCAGAGTGAGGAAGTTTGAAAGGATATGATAATGACGTTGCTCCATGTTCTTTCCCTAGAACTGACAGTGCAGATCTCCCAGGAGACGACTGCAGATGCCATCGCCCGGAAGCTGAGGCCTTATGGAACGCCAGGTTTGGTCTTGACTTGATGAGTGCAGAGCGGAGAGACTATCCTAGGGGCCCCCCTTTGCCTCTATGCCTCCCAGGGTGGGTGAGAAAGGGCTCACAAAGGAACAAGAGGCCTGAGCAGCCACAAATCACCCCAATCTTGCAAACTGACTTAAAGGGTTTCAGGGGGGTGCCCCAGGACTAGAGGGCCACGTGTCCAGAACAAGCTAGCTGCAAGTGATGGGGACCCCAACCTGTAAGCCAGGTCCTGGGAAGGAAAGCAGAGGAAAGGCGGCCAGCCCTCTGGTGCTGCAGGCACCCCACGTGGCTTCTACAGCCGTCATCTTGGTCTTCAAGATGACCCCTGGGAATAGGTCATTGCAGTGAAGCTGGGGCTCTGAGGTCAAGAAATGCACAAGTGGGTCACCCAACCAGGATCAGACTAACCCAACTCCAACCCCCCTCTGCCCTGCCCACGCACCTGGAGGATCTCCTCCCTCTCTCAGCCTGTCCCCTCCTCCCTTCCCCCTCAGGATACCCGGCCAGCCACGACTCATCCTTCCAGGGCACTGACACAGACTCATCGGGGGCACCTCTGCTCCAGGTGTACTGCTGACCCCCACTGGGCCCAGAGGCCCCTACCCTTCTGAGAGCACAGAATGAAGAGGGGGACCAGGATTCCCTTTGTGGGGGGCAGGACCATGAACCCTGAAGCAGTGCCCACTCTGGCTCCTCCTGCCTTGGCTGACTGGTCCCTGGACCACGTGCATTTCACTGGGCCACAGTGCCCGCATCCCCATGGACCTCCAATTGCCTGACCCTTCCTGCCCTGGTCACCAGGCCATATGGGGCACGAAAAGCAAAGACTTAGGAGCTACCTTCTGGATCGTATCCTGACTCTACCCCCTGAGGCACTACCTGAACCCATCATACAAAACTCGTCTTCAGTGGGTTGGGTTGGGGGACAGGCAGTGGGCAGGGCCCACTCCACATCATGTTGCTGAGCAGTTGGGTTCCTGGCTGATGTTCTACATGTTAACATGATCGTGTTACAAGTACAAAGTTAATGGGTCCCCCTGGTCGTCTCTGCCGTGACACTGTCCTTTCTGTCCCATTTACCTGAGTGCTGTTCAGAGTTGGAGCCAGGATGGAGCATCAGCCTGGATTTGTGTCCACCTCTTGGAGTCAGTATTCTGAGATAGCTCAAGGCATCATCTACCTAACCAAGTTCCAGTAAGTGGTCATGGTAGCAGTACTTCTGGGCAGGCTAGTCTGGACTACCTGCCCAACCAACTTTCTAGTGACAGATCAATTTGCTTCTGGCCACCTGAAGTGTCCCCCAAATCCCTGAGCATTTATCAGCCCCCACCCACCCCCAGAATGCCATCCCTACCACCAACCTGGTGCTGATGAATCATAGCTACACCGCTCTTTTTGGCCTCGCTGGCAACCTGGAGTGAGGCTGTGCTTTTGCAGGGGCAGCTGGGGCTCAGAGGTGTCGCAACTCAGTGAGTTCTGCTGCTAGTAACTGCCTCCACCTGGGAGCTGGCTTTTTGGCAGCTTTGACCCCAAGCTGGCAAGCTGATCTACTTGGGATGTAGGAGCCCAACTGGGTTCAGGCTCCTGATTACTCCCCACAGAAAGGGTGTTAGTACTTTCACAGTGAGGGCAGAGCAGGCCCTCAAGCCCATTCTCAACTGAAGAAGCCAGCAGGTACCCAGAACCAGCCTGTACCCCCCCTCCCCAGCAGCCCCATAGCCCTTTGCAAAGTTCTTTGGGAAGCAACTAGTCAGCTGCCCTTGTCTGGCCAGCTTCCTATCAGACACAGAATTGTCCCTTGGGGCTATAACCTCAAGGCCAAGTTCCAGTTGATAAAACTGGCCTCTCTCCTTAGGCTCTGCTGTCTCATCCAGGTCAAGGCCGTGCCAAGATAAAAGTGACCACAGGGTGCTGGAGCCCAGAGCTAGCACTGGACAGCACAGAACAGTGGTCCCTCCACCCTAGCCATGACCATAAGGACCACTTTCCCAGCTCAGTCTTGGGAACTACTACTGGCATTCCTTGAAAAAAAGGTTTATGGAGTTTGGACAAAGCTGGATATTGCCTAGTCTCTAAGTCCTTAACAAGCTATTCTGAAATACCAAAAGTACATGTTGTATTCCAGAAAATTCAGGGATCACTCACAACTTAAACAAGATTCTTGCCGTTACCATAACCTCTGTTGCCCCTGCACTGGTAAGCACTACCCTCTGGCCAAAGTGGGCCAGGGCTGGATTTGGACAAAGACGAGCAGCTCCTCAGCCCTAGCACTCCCCAGAGGCTGACTGAGAAATGCTACAGTCTGCAGAGGCCCAGGTCAGACTCACAAACAGAGACACAAGCTGGACTTTATCCTCCTGGCCAGAACCATGTAGCAGCCTGGCCAGTCCCCCTAGTCTTTGCTATTCTTGATCCCTAAAACAAGTATGTAGTTTTAGAAACACTTGGGGATGAAGGACAAATGTGCTGTAGGGGATGAAAATGGAACCAGCAAGTCCAGCTGGTCTTAAATTTTTCTGAGTCACGGACCCCTTCAAGATTCTGCCATATGTTCTAGAGCCAGAAAAACTCACCTTTGCTCAGAATCCTATGCAGACCAAAAGGCTTGTTTTAATCCTCCCTTTAAGTAATGAGACACTGAGCCCAACAGAGGAGCAAAGATGTGCCCTCGGTCACATGGCAGAACAGGAGTGAGAAGCCCAGCTCCCAGCTGAGGAAGAGAGGACAGCAGTGGGATTGGGTAAATAGTTTTAATGTGTAACAGCAGGCCAACTGGGGAGGACAAGACCACCCCAAAGCCCCAGTCCTTCTCCCATGATGCCCTGGGACCTATGTGCCTGGGCCAGTCCCATACCTGCCCCAATCCTGAGGTCCCCCAGGTTCCAGGGACGTGTGAGGAAGCAAAGTGGATGGAGGCTCAGCCCTACAAATTCAAGAGGCAAACAGGCTAGTTGAATTTGGCCTTGGAAAAATCCATCTCTGGATGCTGATCCATGAACCTAGAGAGGGAAAGTAGAAAACAGGTGAAACAGGCTGACGCCTTCTCCCCTACCCCATATCTGGGAGTAATCTTTGCAGGACCCTGAGCCACTTGGAGCCAGGACAGCATGGGCCGGGTCCCTGAGCCTGGAGCCCATGTGAGCCGGGGCTGAGAGCTGAGCACCAGCACAGCTCTGTGTTCCTGGAGGTGGCAATGACTGCCAGTCACCCCTTCCTACCCGAGGTGGCCTTGGCCTCAAGATGACCTCAAGCGAGTGATTAGGGTAGGTGAGCCAAGGCTGTAAAGCCATAAACACTGTCTCATCTTAGAAGGGCAGGGCGGCGCCTGCATCCTGCTCAATGACCCACTGAGTTGCTATCACCAGGTCCAAGCCCGCAGACACCCACCTCCCCAAACCCCACGTCTGAATTGCTTACTTCTTCAGAATCTCCTGTTTCTTCTGCTCGTCCGACGTGGGCAGCCCCATGGACTTCTGTCTCTGGTCGTACATCATCTTTTCCACCATGCTGCGGGTCTCGCTGTCCAGGTCTGACAGCTGGGGGCAGGCAGTGAACGGGATGGGTGAGGCTCTGGGGTGAGCCAGGGCCCTCACTCCCAGCTGAAGACCCCCAGGACTCACCTTGGAATTCTCAGGATTGATCTTCTTGGTATTGATCTCGGGGTCGCTGGACACCAAGCGGCTCCACCACTCCATCTTGTTGATCTGTGGGAACACCAGGGGTGGGAGGTGGCCTCCTGACCCTTCCAGACCCAACTCTCTCCCCCATCCACATCCTGCCCCTGGGACCCAGAGGCAAGCCTGGGCTGGGACCAGAGGTGCAGGTGGGCAAGACTCTGCTCGACCCAGCAGCCAGGGGAGACAGAGCCAGTTACAAGAGGAAGAATATAGCGCAGAGGGAGATATTAACCCAGGGTGAAGGGAAAGACACACATGGCTGGATTTTTAGGGGCCAGATGAAGAAAGAGGGGAGGACATTCACAGAGGAGGAAAACAAGTGCAAGGGGAAAGAGGGGTGCAAGGCAGCAACGGCCAGTTGGGTGGGCCGGACAGGGACTCATGTGCCATGGAAGTTCTCCTCGCACCCCTGGTACAGACTCGAGACCCCCTTTATTTATTGGTGCCTGCGCCCCACCTCCATAAGGAGAGTGAAGGGGAAAACATAGGCTCCCTGGGGCCTGTTTTCTGCACTGCTGGCTGCTCTCATAGCACTGAACAGCCCTACACAGAGCAGCGTCCGCGTGTCTGCTGAACTGACACACACGCACCAACGGACGTGGCTCTGGACCAAAGACTCTTTCAATCCCGACACCACCCCTTGTGAGGAGGAGCCCAGGCAGATTTCTCAGTGGCCCTTTTCCTGACTCAACATGTATCAGGCCTTCTTTCGGTCTTGTTGGAGGATTAAATGAGTTATATCCAGCAGCCCCCAGCAGTCCCTGAGGGAATGAGCAGATGCCTGCCCACACCACCCCCTCTTCGCCCCCCCCCCCCCCGGAAGCCGCATCTCTTGTACCTTCTCTATTTTTTTTTTTAATTTTTAAAAAAGATTTATTTATTTATTTATACATGCACTGGGTACAGTCAGAAGCGCGGGAGGGTGAGAGAATCCACCAGAGCCAGAGCGGGGAGCAGAGCAGGCAGAAGGACCGAAGTACACTGCCAAGGGGCGCAGTGGGCAGCAGGAGAGGTCTGCACGCCATGCGGGACCCTCCTCCAGTGGCCGGGGAGCAGCCGGGGATTGAACCGGCGCTGCAGAGGCTGCGGGCAGCTTCGCAACCCAGCACTCAACCGCTGCGCCACCGGGGAGGCCCTCTCGTACCTTCTCTAAATGCACCGTTACCACCTTGCCATCCTCGATGAGCCACGAGCTCTCCTCCACTTTCACCTCATTGTACAGCTCCCCATCGATGATGGCCGGCTGCCCCCTGAGCCCCACCCGGAGGTGCCGCCGCTGGATGTCCACCACCACGTCCTTCCCCTTCAGCCGGAAGTTCACTCGGAAGGGCACTGCCAGCTGCATGGGACAGGGCAGTCAGGAAGGGCCTAGGGCCACCCAGGATGCTCCCCAACCTCCACCCCGGCCCTGCCACTCACGTCCAGCTCTGACAGCGTCTGGGTCCAGCGGTAATTGGGCAGGTCAGCCCCGTTGCCAAGGTTGGGCTTCAGTTTCCCTTTGTCCTTCTCATCCTCCTCTTCCTCGTCCTCCTCAGCCTCCTGCTCAGTCAGGGGTTCTCAGTTACTTACTTGACACAGACTGAACACCACCGGGCCAGGCCCAGAGATGGCATTGGACCCAGTGGCAAATGAAACAGGCCCGGTCTCTGCCCACTGGGAGCCAGTGGTCAAACCTGGTCTGACCACCCCCCCGAGTGCTCACTGTCTACCATGTGACAAAGGACACTGTTGGGGGTCAGTGACAGTCAGAAAAGGACCCACGGGACCCAGATGGGGGTCCAAGTCAGGGAAGCTGGGAAGCCAGTGTGACAAGGTGACCAGGGAGTGAGGCTGTTCTTAAATAAAACCAGGCAGACAATGATCGATATCCTTTTTCTGTGTCTGCAGGGTTGAGACTCCCAGTCTCAGACCAGAACCTATGGAAAGTCAAATCAATGTCCCCAGGATTGTTGGGAAGCTGGACTGGAGTTAGTGGGGGGTACACTTGAGGGTCACATAGCCCAGATGTGTGAGAAAGACCTATACGCCCCCGCACCCCCACCCTAGATCCAGGCATTGCCCTCTCTGGCTCCTGGACTTTCCTGCCAAGGCTTAAAGTCAGTCAGTTTTGTTTTTAAACCCAGACCCTCTGTCCCAATGCCTCTGATTGGGATCCTAAAATAGGAGGAGGATGGCCAAAGCCGAGGAAAACATTCCAGAGAAAGGCAAGGCTGGAGAGGCACCAGAAGCCCTCGAGCTTCTGCACTCCATCTCACCTGCTTCCCTGGCGAGCCAAGACTGCCATTCTTGAGCTGGGTCTCAGGATTTTCTGCATCCTTTTTCTGTGGCAAAGGACACAGCAGTTGGCAAGAGGGTCCTCACATCCCAGTGCCAGAGGGGATGAGGCAGGCGAGGGCTGCGACCCACTCTTACCTGGTCAATCTCCAGCTGCAGTCTCTCTGCCTCCTCATCAGTCAGCTCCTTGATCTGCGGCCCAGAGGTCTCTGACTTGGCCTCCTTGGCCAGCCTGGCTGCCCGCTCTGCCTTCTCCCGCCGCTCAGTCTCCTGCCGAGCTCTCTTCTCCCTCCGGGCCTTCTGTGCCAGCTGATTGTGGTGGTTGAAGGTCTGTGTGATCAGCTGGGGAAGGAAAAGAAGGTAATGAGACATCAGGGCAAGCAAGGGACAGTGCCCCAAAGCCAGGAGTCAGTCCCATCTCTACCTCCTGGGTACCTGGGCAAGGCAATAGCCTCAGAGCCTCAGTCTCCCCATCTGTAAAATGGAGCGAATCTGCACCTGCTCATGTGTGTTGTAATGAGTACCCCTGCAAAACACCTGCGCCCAATAAAGAGCAGTTACTTTTTAAAAATACTGTCTAATGATTAAGAGCATGGACACTGAAGTTGGATAACCTGAGTTCTGGCTACTGTATTTTTGACAAACTGTTTAACATGTACGAGTTTCACATTCCTCACTGGTGAGGCTGAATCCCTACTCAGGTTACTGTGCAGATCAGATGTAAGAGACCCGCAGACCCTGCAGTACAGTGCCAGCCCTCAGAAGAAAGCTCTAGGCTCAGCACCGCGGAGAAGCCTCTCCGAGCTTTAGGCCCACACTGGCCTGCTGGTCTCGCTTACCCGCTGTACAGTCTCCAGGATGAGCCCCAGCTGGGCAGCACTGTCCACCACCCAGAACGGCCACAGTAGCAGGATGCAAGAGGGAGCTTTCCTGAGGGAAGAGGCTAGTTTCTTCCTCTCCCCAGCTTGCAAGCTATCAATTTCAAATCCCTTCTCTACCACAATACCTTGCCAACATACTTCCCACCTACATCCTGCTAGCTAGTCTCCCTGCCACACAAGGAGTACCCTTCACACGTGCCACCTGGCACTATCTGGCTGTGGCCGTGGACAAGTGAACAACTTTGACTCTAAGCTCAGATTCCTCATCTGTCACAAGCAACTATGTCAGGACTGACGAAGTCAGCAAAGCCCACCCCATGTCAGCTAGGGGCTGGGGAAGCACCACCTCTGCCATGAAAAGTGAGAGAAGGTTCCACTTCACTTCTAGACCAGCTCTCAGGGTGTGATTCCCTGACCTGCAGCATCAGCGTCACCCAGAATTTGGTAGAAATGCTGTACCTCAGGCCCTACTGCAGACCTCCTGAGTCAGAAATCCTGGAGTGCAGGGCAGCATCTGTATTTTTAACAAGTCCTGGCCAATTCTCATGCTCAGTTGAGCCACCCCTAAGTTCACCTGCGTGACCCAGAGGTCATCTCTCTGCCTCTATTTTAATATTTCTAAAAGCAGTCTCGCACAAGCCGTTCTCTGCCTACACTGTCCTTGTCCCCCAACCCCCAGTTCATTAGCAAACTCCTACTCACCCCCCAGGACCATGAAGTGTCTCCTGAGTTTGGTCTCTGCTACTTCGGCAGCCCAGGCACGAGCTAAGAGACACGACTGTGCCGATCCATACACCCTGGGGCCTCTCAGGGTACCCACCGCGAGATCAGTAGTCAGTAACCCACATGTCAAGCATCTCTGAGCCAGAGGAAGAGGTCTGAAAGAGCTTGAGGGACCGACGTAAGGCTCAGGGTCACCGAGTCACCATGGGCACCCAGACCCAGGGTCCTGCCAAATGCCCTGTGGTTTCTCGTTCATCTGGTGGCAATTCCTCGCACCACCCCCACACCTCCAGCCCCATGCCACACTGCAGTATCTCCATTCTCTGCAAGGCTAAAGGGCACCAAAAGCACTCCCTAAACCAAATGGCTTAACAGGACGTGGTATAAGTGTGGAAGAAATGAAATGAGCCATTCTGGACTGAGCCAACACATGAAGGCCATTCTGGTATTGACAGAAATCAGTCAAGAGACAATTACGCCAGCGAGACTGTTCCACCAGAGGGCTTTGGTCCCAAGTTCCTAATCGGAGAGACCTTGAACTCAAGCCATTTGCCAACCAGCGCCGAGGGGTGGTGGTAGCAGGGCCCTCTCCTTTCAGGTCGTTCAGTGATGTCACATACCATTCATCCTGTTCCTTCCCAGCTCCCAGAGGTAAGGTGAGGGCAGAGTCAAGGCCAATCACCTCGGCCTCTGGCCCAGCCTCCTATTCTCCTCCCATCAGCTTTACCCAGGCCCAGTCTTGGCAAAGACACTTGGTGCTGTCTAGTCCACCCGCAGGAGCCAACTAGCATGCTCAGCGTCAAATCTTGACACACCCTTCAGAACCACAGCCTGGCAGAGTGGGCAAGGGAGGAGGAAAGCAGAGCCACTGCTAGGAGACCGGTCCCACACCCTGAGTGGCATACCTGGAAACAAGCTTCCCCTGACCTCTGCTGGGTCACAAGGGAGTAAAGAGTGGTCCCACCAGCCTGGCCAGGGATACCCTGATAGATATTTAAGCCTAATCCAAAACATGAGCCCTGAATCTGACCATGGGGAGGGAGACACGTCCCCCAACTCTAAGGGAGATGACACACTCCTCTTCTAAAGCCCCATGTAAATGGAATTATACAATATGTGCTCGTATACTTTTTTGGGTAACAAAACGCAAGGCTTCATCTTTTTTTTTTTGGTATCTGAGCAGTGTTCCATTCTGTATATACACCAAATCTCATCCACTCATCTGTCCTTGGGCACTCAGGGTGTTTCCCTAGCTTGACTATTGCAAGCAGTTTTGCAATGAGCAGGAGTACACACAGACCTTCAAGTTAGTGTCTCTATCCCTGAATACTTAGGGATGGAATTGTTGGACCACATGGTAGATCTATTTTTAATATTTTGCAAAACGTCCATACCCTTTTCCATGGAGGTCAGATGAGCTCACATTCCTCCTGTTGTGGAGCTCCTTTTTCTACACACGCCACCAACACTTGTTGCTTCTGGTCTTTTTTTTTTAACTTCACTCTTCTTATATGGCACTTTCTCTCCTTGCCTGCCCAAGGACACCTGGGCTGCTCCTACCTGCTGGCTATTGTGAATAGTGCTATGACACGAACAAACCTCTCTTCAATTCTTCTGGATATATACCCAGAAGTGGGAGGGCTGGATCACATGGCAGCTCTATTTTCAATTGTTTTGAGAACGTACCATACTGTTCCCAGAGGCCCACCAACCGTGCACAAGGGCTTCCACTTCTCTACATCCTCGCAATACTTTTTGGTTTGTTTGTTTGTTTGTTTGTTTTGACAGAAGCCACCCTAATGGGTATGAGGGTATGATACGGTTTTGATGTGCATTTCTCTGATGGCTAGTGAAGCTGAGTATCTTTTATAATTAAAAGTTTTTAAAGGGCCTCCCCGGTGGCGCAGCGGTTGAGCGCTGGGTTGCGAAGCTGCCCGCAGCCTCTGCAGTGCCAGTTCGATCCCCGGCTGCTCCCCGGCCACCAGAGGAGGGTCCCACATGGCGCGCAGACCTCTCCTGCCGCCCACTGCTCCCCTCAACAGTGTACTTCGGTCCTTCTGCATGTTCTGCTCCCTGCTCTGGCTCTGGTGAATTCTCTCATCCTCCCCGCACTTCTGACTGTACCCAGTGCTTGTATAAATAAATAAATAAATCTTTTAAAAAAAAAAAAAACTATTAAAAAAGTTTTTAAAGAGCTTACAATAATTCATTTTTACCAGCAATGTCTGCAAAGTACTCCTTTCCACAGCCCTATAAACAATTGAAAATGTTGATAGAGGGGCCTCGATGGTGGCCTAGCAGTTAAATCTCAGCACTGTGACTGCTGCAGCCTGAGTTCGATCCCCAATCAAGGAGCTAAACCACATGGCGCAGCAGACCTCTCCTGTCTCACCTGCTGCTCCCCTCAGCAGTGTATTTCAGTAGATTCACCTGTTCTGCTCCCCACTGTCTCTGGTGAATCTACTCACCCCCTCAACCCCTGCATCTCTGGCCTACACCCCACCAGTTGTTCTACAAACACAAAAAAAAGCTGACAGGAAGAAAAGTGAATCTCACGGTTCTTTTAACTTCCATTTCCTTGACCATTAACGAATTTGAGCATCTTTTCACATGCTCTGTGCATCTGTCCTTGGAACTGCCCATTTTTGTGTTTTCCTTATCAATGTACAAGAATTCCTGCATATTAAATTAGCTATTAAATCCTATCTGTCTTCTGCATTGCACATGTTTTCCAAATCTACTGCTTTTCAATTGACTTTATTATGTCAAGTCTCTTTTGCCAAACACAAATTTTCAATGTTTGAAATAGCTATCATTTTTTTAAACAGCGTCTAAGTTTCTAATCTTGCATGGCCTCCCCAGACTAGCTTTCCTCACAAGACTCTTCTTGATACACAATTTATTTTTTACCTGAATAAAACAGATGGTACAATCTTGTTTTTTTTTAATAGAAAAATAACATATCAACTGACTAAGCCATCTTTTGCCGACTAAACTGAATTACCTCCTAGATACATATTACACCCTCAAAAACACTAGACTTTTTCTGAGCACTTCACTGGCTACTGACTCTTCCCATGTCGATGCCACATTGTCTTTCTGAGCATTATAGCTTTACACAAATCTTACCCACAATTCCTAGTCCGAAAGCTATCAAAAGTAAAAGTCTTTCTGTTAAGTTTGTGGCAGGAAGGTATCTGCAACCCTAAGGGGTTTAGAAAAGGCCTGTGAACTTGCCTCCTCACACACCAGCCACTTCTTATCCTCACAACAACCATATGAGCTAACGGTTATTACCCCTTCACTCATGAGAAAAATCTGGCTGAAAGACAGTGGTTCATCCAAGGCACACTGTCAAGTGAAGAGAACAGGACAGACTTTTCACCTCTGTGCTCAGGGAAAGGATGTGACTGGTGGTCCTGCCCATAATAGGTGCTCAAAACAAAGGAGTTACTGTGTTACAACTGGAAGCCAGGCGTAAAGGCTAGACAGGTCCTGCCTGACTGAATCTTCCCAACCTCTGGTGAAGAGCTGACCCTGAGGAAACAAAGAGCCAAGGAGCAGGACAAGGATTTCTAAGTGAGCACCAGCAGCCATCCACCACGTGGCACTTATCACCGCCCCAGTGACAAGGCTGAGGATCCCTGTATCGTCACTCCCTTCTTCCAGCTACTTCTCACTCATCCACCATACCTCGAGCATCACTTCCTCATAAAGGAAGCTCCTTGAACTCCCAACCTACGGAAGTCCCCACTTTATGCTCTCAGAGCTCCTGCTCTACCACCCACCACTTCTTCATTGCCTGTCTGTTGTTGTGGGGGAGAGGCCTACCATGTAATATCTATGAAGGCAAAAGACTATGTCTGAATTACCTCTGTAGCCCCAAAGGGTTTGGCACGGCATTTAATCCAGGCAAAGGGTTAAGTGGTCAACAAATGCAGTTGAAAAAATGCGTGAGTGCTGTTACAGTAAGGCAGTCCAGCCCCCAGAAAAATGGGAGATGCTAGTGATAAATCAGAATGAACATTTGAGCCAGAGGGTCCTACAGGGCCGCGAGCCCACCTTCCACTTTACAGATGTGAAGACTGAAAGGACCAGAGAACTAATGGAAGATAACCAAGTCCTGTAGCACCACCAAGAACCCGGGTCCCTGCGTGTTATGGAAGAGTAGCCTGGGCCTTCAAGGCACAGCAGAGAAATGCAAACTCATGAGAACCATGAATTCCCAGAAAGTTTGCAAAATGTCTCCTTACTGTGTCTCAAGTTTAAGTGAAAACAATTATCAAGATTATAAAAATTATAGTTCAGTGAAGTGATTTACTGATTTTATAGTTTCATGATTTACCAATCTTCAAAATGTTATACAACCTAAGGAATCAGAAGTTCAAGGTGTCAGAACCAATTCCAAATATTTGAACTTTGGATCACAACATCTGGGAAATCTAGGACTGGCTGGCTTTGAGTTTTCCTAAATTTCTGTGTTTTAAGCACCATTTTGAACATTCGCCCATTCTTATCTCCCAGTTAAGTAATTAGACAAAATATCCTCAATGGAAAAGGAACCAATAAGCATGGTGCCGGGGCAGAAGGCAAGTCCAACCTTGGCTATCCCACAACTCAGCTCAAGACTTTGTGCCAAGCATCAAACACCCCGAGCCAATTTCCTGGCTTATAAAATGACAGTAGTAGTGGGGCTTCCCCGGTGGCGCAGCGGTTGAGCGCTGGGTTGCGAAGCTGCCCACAGCCTCTGCAGTGCCGGTTCAATCCCCGGCTGCTCCCCGGACACCGGAGGAGGCTCCCACATGGCACACAGACCTCTCCTGCCGCCCGCTGCTCCCCTCAGCAGTGTACTTCGGTCCTTCTGCCTGCTCTGCTCCCGGCTCTGGCTCTGGTGAATTCTCTCACCCTCCCGCGCTTCTGACTGTACCCAGTGCTTGTATAAATAAATAAATCTTAAAAAAAAAAAAAAAATGACAGTAGTGGGGCCTCCCTGGTGGCGCAAGGGATTAAGTCATAGCACTATGAAGCAATCCGCAGCCACTGCAGCACGAGTTCCATCCCCAGCCAGGGTGGTGACCCATAAGGCATGGTAGACCCTCCTGTCTTGCCCGCTTCTCCCCTCAGCAGTGTATTCCAGTCAATCCACCTGTTCTGTTCCCCACTCTGTCTCTGGTGAATCCTCTCACCCCCCGCATCTCTGGCCTATGCCCCAGTTCTTGTATGCATAAATAAATCTTTAATAAAAAAATGGTGACAGTAACACCAGCCACTCTCAACTGCTAAAGGATCATGGGAGACTGGCAGAAGCACCTGGCAAACAGAGGGGCTTCAATCAATGACAGCTGGATTCCCAACCCCACCCATTGACCTTGGCATCTCACTTTTGCTGAAATCCTATTAGTGTGCTAAAGGCAGGCCACGTGAGCTTTTGATAATGAAGAAACAGAGCTGCCCAAAGGACAGCGGTCCCCAACACTCACCTTCTCTGCCATCCCCTCTTCTCCTCCAACGAAAAAGTCTGTTTTGCGTCGAAGAAAACTGAAGAAAGTATTCACAAGCTGGAAGACAGGAAACTCAAGATGTGATGGTGCCACTCTGAGAGCCCCTCACCTACACAGAAGTCAACTCCCTTAGTCTAGACAGAATCTGGGACTTGACTATTTCATTCCTAAGCCTCCCAACTGAGGAGATGCCCTCTCAACAGGCCCTGCCTTAGTGACTTGTGCCAGGATGCCTGACCTTACCTTACCCAGATCAGCTGAAGGTAGATTTCTCACTTCTCGTGGGTATGTGTACATGCCTGGGTACAGCTTTCCTCTGCACACTGATACCAAAAGCCCATCCCAGAGTAGCACTGGTGGAGTTGGTGAGGCAGAGCTGGGTAAGACCAACCTGGGGTTTCCTGAGGTACCAGTGTAGCCATGAGGTCAAGAGCATGGGCTTGAATATTAGACTGTAACCTTAGGGACGTTTCTTAGGTATAGCAACAGACCTTTAGGGACCTTTCAAGGACCTGAGCGGTGTTTGTCTCAAAGCAAGACATCTGGCAGAGCATGAGCTCCTCACAAGTAGACACCAAGAACCATGGCTTATTCTGTCTGACATCCAGCACTAAGTGTCTGACATCCAGCACTAAGTCACACTTTTAAATGTAACGATCTAGTGGTAACACGGGATTGGCACCTATAAGCCCTTTTATATATTCTAAATCCAACACCAGAACTTATCTCCATGGCTTGGACTCCCATTTCTAAACACGTTTTCAATTCACCAAAACTGAACTCACTCCTAAATCCAGTTTGTGTCAACAATTTAGGGGGAAGGAAGAGAGCCTTTTCACACTTGCAAATCAGTAACTTGCGCCCTACCTCAAAGGGCTTGGGAGTCCTTGGTTACCACAAGCACCTAAAGAATAGGAATGGAAAGTTCAGTGAAGACTTGTCTCCAGTGAAACAACGGGCAATGGACTGCAGAAAGCACACTGGCCTAGCAGTCTGGTGGCATCCAGGTCAGGAGCCTGTTGGATGGTCTTGGGTGATCTCTATCCCTCTGTGGCCCTTGGCCTGCTTAATAGAAGAGCTCTGGACTGATCTTAACAGGCTCTTCCTACTCTAATTTTCCATATTTCTGCTCCAAACTCCAGAATCTACTGGTTGGTCCTTGGAGTTCCGACACTATGTGTTATTTGGGTCTTGTCACCACACATGAGCTACACTTGTGAAAAGTTCTTTTGTAAGTGTCACCATGACAACGACAGGTTTCTGCTCACGACTGTATCTCCAGGACCCAGTCCAGTGAGTGTGTGACACACATTAATCACCCAACGAATATTTGTTGGATAAACATGCCTGATTACTGAAAATTCTTCATGTCCTTCACTTCAAGACCCTACAGAGATTGAGATAAAAGGATGCTTAGCTCTGTCTCAGAGACAAGGAGACTGAGGTTTGGAGACAGATAAGGTCCCAAGTTGGTAGGTGGTGGACACCAGTAGTGAACACAGTTCTCCTATTTAAGGCCTAAAAAGACCACGTGCTAACTTCGCCCTGCCGCCTTCAGCCCTCACCCCACCCCGCACACATTGAGCAGCTCATCCCAAGTCTTCGCAGATGCAAATCACTACGTTTCGATTCAAGGAACCTAGGGGTGCACCCTAAGGGACGCTCTTCGGGGGCGACTATCAAAAGCGAAACAGGGAAGGTAGTGCTGAGTCTACGGCAGAAGTCAGGGGTGCAGGCAGAGATCCCAAGGCCCTGGGAGACTTGGGGCGGGATCAGGGATGCTGGAGTTGCTGAAATAGAGTGAGCGAGGCACGCCGGGGGCCCCAGATCGATACTAAGGGAGCGAGACGCACCGCGGGGCGTCCGGGCCGGAAGCGGGGGCGCGGTGAGGACGGAGGGGGCCCAGAGGCCCGAGAGGCCCGGGGTGGCTCTCCACCCTCGCAGGCAGGGAAGGGCAGAGGGAACGCGGCTCTGGGCGCCCGGGGGGCGGGCGCCGCTGGACCAGGCCGGGCCTGCGCCGCGCGGGCCGTTACCTCCTGCACGCCGCCCTCGTGCTGCTGCGCCATGGCCAGCAACATGCCGTCGAACCGCTCCTCCTCCTGCTCTCCGCCCATCGCGCCGGCCCCGGGCTACGCTCGCAGGTCAGAGCTCCGCACCCGCGCCCCGCGCTCGCCCCGCCGCTGCGGCTTGCGTGCGGCCCAACGGCTCCAGCCCTCCGCCTTCCGCAGCGGAGCCGGAAACACGCACGCGCCCGCGCCCGCCCTCTCCGCCCGCCCCCGGCCCGGCTCGCGGCCATTGACCGCGCGGCACTCAGCCCGCCTCGCCAGCCATTGGCCGGCACGCTGCGCCAATCAGCAAGCGGGTCCCTGAGGCGGTGGGCGGGGCCGGAGGCCCTGGAGTTTGGCGTGAGTTGCTATGGTCACCAGAAGCCTTGGAGCCTTCCAGAAAGCTCTGAGCTCAACTGGGTGGGGGTTAAAAAGAGACGAACTTTTCTTTCCCCCTTGGGGGTGCCGTCCCAGCTTGTAAAACAGGGGCACCGAAAGCGTCCTTACTCATCTCGTCCGTTCCTCCCACTGGGGAACTGAGACCCTGAATGGCGAAGGGCCTTGCCCAAGAGAGAGGCTACTTGCGGCACGTCTCAGACTGGACCCTCGCAGGCCTCGTGGGCGTAGACCGTGTAGTCGCCCGCCTCCCGGGCGTAGCTCTGTGTTTGGGCTAACGCTCTTCTGTTACAGTCCAGAAATGGGGGCCTCCCCGGTGGCGCAGCGGTTGAGCGCTGGGTTGCGAAGCTGCCCGCGGCCTCTGCGGCGCCGGCTCGATCCCCGGCTGCTCCCCGGCCACTGGAGGAGGGTCCCACATGGCGCGCAGACCTCTCCTGCCGCCCGCTGCTCCCCTCAGCAGTGTACCTCGGTCCTTCTGTCTGCTCTGCTCCCCGCTCTGGCTCTGGTGAATTCTCTCACCCTCCCGCGCTTCTGACTGTACCCAGTGCATGTATAAACAAAACAAACAAACAAATAAATAAAGCATGCCTCTATCAAAAAAAAAAAAAAAAATACAGTCCAGAAATGCTTAATTTTTGTGCAGGAGAACCCCCACGCTGTCATTTTGCACGGGACCCCGTAGCTTAGGTACTGAGTGCTGTATGACACCTTCACTCCTGTTAATGTGGAGAGCGGATCCCAGCCGCTCCACTTTTGTAGTGAATTTCATCATCCTAGTCTTTTCAGGAATTCTTCCCCTAATTTTTTTTTTTTTTTGACATACATCACAAATTTCTTCTGGCACATTCCATTCAACTTTCAAACACTTTTTAATGTCATCTCTTTCTCTTTTTTACTATCCTGTGACTGTGCTTTCTTCTTCCACTACCCCAGTTTTCAGTTCTTATTCACAGCAAAACTTGCTATACTTGTTTCTCCACTTCCTCACTTTCCATCTCTCAATTTAGTCCAGTTAGTCTTTTCTTAAAAGACTCTAACCAGGTTACAATTGTTATAGAGCAACCCCGATATTGAACGGGTTCCTGCCTGTGGGTCCTCACCCGTGCGCTTAAAAGGGACATCCTTTTCCCCCTAACACAATGACCTACACAGTCCTCACTGTGGCAAAAATACAGGAACTGGGAGAGCCTAAGAGAGGCTTATGAAGCTTGATCTTCAGGGTCTGGCACTTGTCCAAGGCACTGGGAGAGGCCCCAGGAATGTCTTGGTGGGGTCTTCGTATGTATCTCTCTCCATGTTTGTTTGTTTTTTTAAAAAATATTTATTTTTTATTTATACAATAGCTGGGGTACAAGCCAGAGGTGCAGGAGGGTGAGAGGATTCACCAGAGACAGAGTGGGGAGCAGAACAAGAGGATCTACTGAAATCCACCTGCTGAAGGGAGCAGCAGGCAAGACGGGAAAGGTCTGCCGCGCCATGTGGGAATCTCCCCGGATGGCCAGGAATCGAAACTACACTGCAGGAGCTGTGGACAGCTTCACAGCACTGTGCTCAACCCACTGTGCCACCAGGGAGGCCCTCTCTCCATGTTTTTTTTTTAACTTGTACATTTTTTTTAAAGATTTATTTATTTACGCATACAAGAACTGGGGTACAGGCCAGAGGTGTGGGGGTAAGAGGATTCACCAGAGATATAGTCGGGAACAGAACAGGCGGATCTACTGAAATCCACTGCTGAGAGGAGCAGCGGGCAAGACAGGAGAGGTCTGCTGCGCCATGTGGGTAGCTCCCTGGCTGGGCATTGAACTCATGCTGCAGTGGCTGCAAACAGCTTCATAGGTTGCACCTTAACCTCTTGCACCACCAGGGAGGCCCTTAATTTGTACATTTTTTAAACTATGATGGGTTAAGACACTGTTTCTTCCCACTCTATCCTACTTCCCCTCACATAAGATGATGCCAGAGAGGTTAAAAGAACTGTGGGGTCCAGCTAAGAAGTTGAGTTGGGGACATAATTGGTTTGGATTTGCTGGGATATAGTTAAGTGGTGTGCCGTCACTACTGTGTATAGTTAAGTCATCATGAGCTGCCTTGGTGTAGGAAGAGCTTCCAATAATTCTCCCACACTCACTGCCTCATGACTCTCCTTGTGCAGGTCAGAGGTCGAATCCCAATTTGCATGACTCTTAACATACCTAGGAGTATGTGGGGATGGTGGAGGAGAAACAAGGATAGGTGTGAAACAAGAATCAAATTTGTGCAAAAGACTTTTTCAGTCACCACATATAAATTGTCATTTCATAGGCCTCCCTGGTGGCGCAAGGGGTTGAGCACCTCACTGTGAGGCAATCCGCAGCCTCTGCAGTGTGAGTTCGATCCCCAGCCAGCCAGGGAGCAATCCACATGGTGAAGCAGTCCTCTGCTGTCTTGCCTGCTGCTCCCCTCAGCAGTGTATTTCGGTCAGTCTGCCTGTTCTGTTCCCCTCTGGCTCTGGTGAATCCTCTCACCCCCCACACCTCTGGCCTGTACCCCAGTTCTTATATGCATACATAAATAAATCTTTTTTTTTTTTTTTAAAGAAAGTTATCTGGACTGTACTTGCGACCTTTTGGTATTTGTGGTTTCCAAATAAATATCACCCGCATGTGAAGAGGCCAGAAAAGTATGCAGCTAAAATATGTAGGTAAATATTTTCAGGCAATTGATCAATAAAATATTTTCAGGCAACTGATCAATATTTTGCTGTTCTCTGGGTTTGTGATGTTTATGTTTTCTGTCAGATATTTTATTTAGTCATTTGTAGGAGTGATTAGTTTCCTCACTTAAAAATTTATTCTCATACCTGATTTTCTTTTCTTTTCTTAACGAGGACCCTCCAAGTTATATAAGCTTGATATCCATTTCTGGGTTTTCTTGACACCCTTTTAAAGATGAGGATACTGAGGCACAGCAAAGTAAAGTGACTTACCCAAGGCTGCTTGTCTAAGTGATGAAGCAGGTTTGGACACAGGCAATCTGACTTCACAGCCTCCTTTGAAGGGACACTGTGATAATTCAGTGAGATAAAAGGACATGAAACAAATGTTATAAATGGCAAAATTAAGATGATTCATAATTAAATGAAAGGTGGGTGCCTGTTCATCTGCTGGGGCTCAGTTCCTTAGGCAGAAGGAAGCAAGAAGCAGGGCTCCCCTATTATGTGCCAGGAACAGCTTGGAATTTGACAGCCAGGACCTCACTTTGTCCTCACAGCAGTCATTTGGGTAGGCATTATTGTCCCAAATGAAGTTCCTGGGGCCCACAGAGGCTTGGGGATCAACCGGAGAGTGATGGAGCCAGAAGCAGATGCCAAGGATGGTGATGGCCACCCAAGAGGGTGCTAGCACAAGGCTCATATGGCTGAGCCTACGAAGGCCCAGGGACATGGCATAGCCAGGACCTTCCCATCTGCTCTCACAACCCAGCCCCACGGTCTGGTACAGTGGAGCCATGTGGCTGGTAGCAGAACAAGATCTATGCCCGGATCATAAAAGGGCAACATCTGCAGGCTGCAGCAAGGTGGGAGTCCAGGTAGCCAGCAGCTCTGGCAAACTTAGGCCACACAGCTCTGGCTACAAAATTGGGCTGGTGGGTCCAGAATAAGCAAGGGGTTTGGAGTCAGGCAGGTCTGGGCTCTCTCTCTTCTTAGCGGTATGACCTTGGGCAAATCACTTCACCTCTTTGACTCTCAAAAGAATCTTGTCTCAGGGAGCTCTGAACATCAGAGTGGAAAGTGCCTGGCACACAGTAGTTATTCAATAAACAGCAGTCCTACTTTGTCATCATTCTGTGAGAGGTTCTCAATAGATATGGTCTGTCAGGAGCTCTGGGCTGTAGAGCAAGAGTTCTTAAGGATATTATTTCTTCAGGGTCCCCCAGAAATGGAGTCAGAAAGGGGACTTCTTAGAGGTGGTGGGAAAAGTCCTCCCAGCTCCTCAGGGAGCCTGTTCCTTACCGACTACAGGAGCAGGGCCCCAAGGTTAGGCAAACAAGCCAGTGATAAGGCACTTCCAGGTTGGGCCCTGTGTTCAAGGCTCATCCCACTCTGGAGCTGGCTTCCCGTTTAGCGAAAGTCCCACTCCTATGCACGTGCAAGACAGCACCAGTAGGGACACCTGCCACAACCGCCTGCTGATTGTGCACCTGAGGCCTTGGTGCCCTGGTACAGCCTGGGTTAATGACCCTGTTTATCCGCTTGAGTCATCCGATAAGGGCTAACCAGGCCAGCAGGTAGGCGGCCCGTGCCCTGCACCAACTTACTTCATTGACTGAAGCGCTATCAGCGCCACGTGGAGCTCCCAAGGCCCCTTCCCCCCACTTCCCTTCCAGTCCAGCCAGGATCAGTGTGTGTTTCTTTTTCTTTTTTTTTTTCAATGAACATGACTTCTAGAGTCAAGGTTGTTGGTAGTTCCCCCATCCCCCCAAGCCGGGATATAAATAGCACCCACAGCACAGAGCAGAGGGCCAGAGAGCAAGAGCAAGGAGGAAGGAGCAGATCCTGTCATGAGCTCCAGCCAGCCAGCAGCCTGCCCATGCCGGGGTGCTTCAGGTCGCCCAGCCATTCTATATGCACTTCTGAGGCCCAGCCTTGGGGCCAGGCCTCCTGGGCCCCCAGCCCGAAGCCACTGCCTATGCAAGCAGCACCGGCCGGTCCAGCTGTGCGCTCCCCATCGCACCTGCCGGGAGGCCTTGGATGTTCTGACCAAGATGGTGGTCTTCCTCAGGAACCTGCCGTCCTTCTGCCAGTTGCCCCCCCAGGATCAACGGCGGCTACTGCAGGGCTGCTGGGGCCCCCTCTTCTTGCTTGGGTTGGCACAAGACACTGTGACCTTCGAGGTGGCCGAGGCCCCAGTTCCCAGCATACTCAAAAAGATCCTGCTGCAGGAGCCCAACGGCAGTGCAGACAGAGGCCAGACGCAAGACCAGCCCCAGCCCTCACTGGCTGCGGTGCAGTGGCTTCAGTGCTGCCTGGAGTCCTTCTGGAGCCTGGAACTGAGCCCCAAGGAATACGCCTACCTAAAAGAAACCATCCTCTTCAACCCTGGTGAGCTCCTGGATGGGGGCCAAAGCTGGAGGGAGGCAGGGCCCTGCTGGGGAAGGCACTATCTAAGGACTTAAATCTGTTATCGTACTAAGTCCTTATTTTCATCAAGTAATCATCTCACAAAAGAGGCTCAGAGAGGCTAAGAGACTTGTTGAAGGTCACACAGCCAGGTAGAGGCAGGGCAGGAATGGGGACTCAGGTCTCTTCACTCCAGAGACTGACCCTTGACACTCTACCCATGAAACATGCTCTAACCCTCAGGGAAGGTGGGAGGGGGAGGGGAGGGAGGCAGGCCTAGCTGTACCTCAGTCCCAAGTAACACCCTGTGAGTTCAGAAAGCACCTAGAGAAGAGGAATGAAAACAAGAGGGCATGGCAGAGGAGGGGGGAGAAGTCTTTGTGAAATTCAGCCAGGAGACCAACAGATGGACACGGTGGGCTTTATAATCCCGAGAGCATCTGAGACGAGGATTCCCTGCCAAAAGGCGTTCATGGGATGTGTGAATTAGAGCAATTAATTATAATAACAAATGAATATTCATATTAGACTTACCATATGTTAGTCCAGTGCTAACAGTTTTATATATACTACCTTACTGAACCCATTGAAACCTCAGAACAAGCCTGAAATTATTAAGTGGTATTATTATTTTATTATGGCATTATTAAGTACTATTATTTTAAGTGGTCCTGCTATTGTCTCTTCTGAGAGGTACTATTATTATCCCCATTTTACAGACAAGGAAACTGAGGCACAGAAATTAAGTAACTTGCCCAAGATATGCAGCTAATAAGTAACAGTCTGGGATTCACACCAGCCTGGCTTTTACCATCACTCTATACTGCTTCTCCATAAATGGACAAATGAATAAAATGATAAATAAGCGGAGGAGGAAGTAATGGAGCCTCAGAGGCTGAGCAGCAGCTTTGGGTCATGGGCCAGCACATCTATGGTATTTGGGAGTGGGGTGCTCACCAGTCCTCTTTGCTCTCTCTGCCCGCAGATGAGCCAGGCCTTCACGCTTCCTCCCACATCAGGCACCTGCAGCAGGAGGCTCACCAGGTGCTGTGTGAGGTCCTGGAGCCCTGGTGGCCAGCAGGCCAAAGCCGCTTGGCGCATGTCCTCCTCATGACCTCTACCCTCAAGTCCATTCAGCCCAGCCTGCTGGTGGATCTCTTCTTTCGCCCTATCATTGGAGACATTGACATCGGCAATCTCCTCGAGGACATGCTTTGGCTTGGACACATGCACCCAAGCAGAGACCAGGCATAGGCTGGACAGACCTGGACAGCGCTGATCCAGCCTGGCTGTCCCCCCGAGATGCCCCTACCCTCCCAGAGGTGGCCGGTCTGTTCAGACAGTACACAGCTGCCCAGGAGCAAGCGGGGCTCAGGGGCGCGAACTCAACCACACCTCATCTTGGCCAAGCTGTCTGGCTGACTCTGGGGCCTCCAGAGCCTCTAGACCAAGACTCCTGCCCCTCCTGGGACAGGGATGGATGGAGTAACTGTTCATGGGGCCAGGAATCCTACTGACTTTGTACAGACTGACTTAAGTTATTGGTTTTTGTAATAAAAGGTGCAACACCCTCAGAGTCTGACACTGTGGTGTGTGCATATGGAAGGGACCGTCTCTCCTCTGGGGCCCTGCCCGAGCAAAGGGAGCCCAAGAGGAAGAAACCATGATATGTGGGAAGCCAGCCAGCAGGGCACTGGGATGTTAATTTTCCAGTGAAATGGTGGTTTCACTTCTGGGGAAGAGATCTATTTTGCCTGGGTCGGAATCCAGGGGCATGATCAGTTCAGGAACTCCTCACCTCCTTGCCTTTATCTTTTTTTTTTAAGATTTATTTTTACTTATTTATGCATACAAGAACTGGGGTGTAGACCAGAGGTGTGGAGAGTGAGAGGATTCACCAGAGACAGAGTGGGGAGCAGAACAGGTGGAGCTACTGAAAGACACTGTGAAGGGAGCAGCGGGCAAGAGAGGAGAGGTCTGCTGCGCCATGTGGGTAGCTCTCTGGTCGGGGATCAAACTCTTGCCGCATTGGCTGGTGATAGCTTGATAGCGCTGAGACTTGACTCCTGTGCCAGCAGGGAGGCCCTCCTTGCTTTTATCTATCTCACTGTCCCCAAACCCCCCACCGGTCCCTCCCCTTGATTCCTGCCCCCTACAGGCTCATTTTAACTCCATGAAAGTGGGCTCACAGCCAACAAAGAAATCCAAGCTGCCTGTGCCCAAACTGGAACAGACAAGGTCACTGGAATTTCTCCAATTTCTTTCACTTCTCCCCGGACTGCAGCCAGCAGAAGAGGAGAGTCGTTGTTCTCAATAGGAGGGGGCGAGGGCACCCAGGGCTGGCCTGGCAACTGTTTGGAGGCCAAGGTCAGCCCTAGGCGTAGCTGCCGCGCCAGCTGTTAGAATCTGAAACGTGTCCTTGACAGTTGTTCCCAGCTACCACCTGAGCGCTCTGGTGTTCCCTTCCGCTGCTCCTCTGCCCTGGCCCTTCTCCTGGAGCTCTAGAGGCAACGCCTGGCCTAGTGGTGGCCTCTGTGACTGCACCATTCCCTGCCAGGCTTGTGTGTGTTTGCACTGGTGGATGTCTGTGCCCTGCTGTTAAATATTTTGCATCTCACCCAGGTCAGGGTGACTGACCGCAGGGTGGGCAGGAGAGAATGATAACAACACACATGCCCATAGGACCCCCTTTAGGCCTCCTCCTTTCTCCAGCAATAAGGTCTGACCCAACCAGGCCCCACCCCCCTTCACCACCACAGTTTGGATTGTTCTCACGGGGGCCAAGTTAATTATTGCTTACAAGAGGTCATTCACTCAGGGACAACTGTCCAGGAGTCATCATTCAGACAGCTCCGAGGCCCCCAGGACCAGGACCACAGCTGAACTAGTCAAGGGTCCATTATGGGCACCCAGTGCCAGCCAGCAGCAAGGCACCCTCGTCCATCCCGCACCCGCTCACCGCTCAGATACCAGAATGAGACGAAGTGCAGCTCAGACCCCATGATAAAGACAGGTGCACTTTGGGCCTGCAACTTTCTCTCCCACACATGAAGGTGCACAACTCTGAAAGGCACACAAAGACCCATAAAACACCCTCCATCCTGCCCCCACACAGCTCAGGAGTGCACTGCCCAGACACGCTCACTCAGCGACCTCCACAGACCCAAACACACAACAGAGACAAGCACCCACCCAGGGTACACACCGCCTCCACCCTGCACCTGAGAGAGGGGCCCAGCCCAGAGGCACTCTCACACCAGCAAGCTCTTCACCCTCTGGGTGTCGCAGTGAAAGAAAAGTGGCCCCAACACAGGCAGTTCAGTGTCTTCAGGGTCAACCCAGAGCCTGCAAATCCAGCCAAACTACCCTGCCTGGCATTCAGGGCCACAACTAACCAATCACCCCCTTTTCTCATGGTGACCCCAACATCCATCCCTGTGCTATAACTCCCCTCAGCCAGGACCTAATCAAATCCCCAAATAGAAGTATCCTTTAGAACCCAGATCAAGTGTTGCCTCCCCTCATCTCCTCCCAGTTCCCCAGACCTCCCAGACCCAGGCCGCAGGCCCCCAGGCACCTCTCCCTGGCCTGCCCTTGCCAGGCCCTGGCACACAATGCTCCATCTCACCTTGCAGACATGACACCACTGCTGTGAGTAACATAAGCCTGGTCTCCCACAGGAGACAAATCCAGCAGATTTGGGGATTTGGGATCATTCTACCTTTTATGTCCTTTCACTCCCTTCCTCAGTAGTTAACTGCTGCATCTCTCTGAACCCCAGGCTGAGTCTTCCAGCCTTCACCCCTCCCTTCTTCAATACCGAACAGCTTCAACCCTTAAAAAGCTCCTCTCCACTCCCACGCCAGCCTTTCTCTCTCAGCTTAGCAAATGTTTCCATCATCCAAATAGCTTCTCTTATCAGCCTACCTTGCTCCTACCGTGCTTCTCCTCCACGTGGTTGGGAGTGACACTTCCATCTGTTTCTCTTGGGTCACTCTATGCCTTACCTGCAAGCCTCTGCAAAGAACATAAAGACAAATAGAACAAAACAAAGGAGAGAATTGTAGTCCAATGTCATAAAGGCAATAGTGCTTTCTCCATGCAGTCTTCCCCAAGGCGTAGCTTTGAATATCCACTACCAAAGCCTTAGGAGTGGAACCTGTGTCTCTGGGAAAAAGAGGAAACAGACTCAAGGTCTGAACAGACTGTGGCCTGTCCAGGGACTTGAACTCAGGCTTGTATGACTTTGGTGGCTGGGTTCTCTGGACTGGAGTGAGTCTCAACCAAGATCAGGGTGTCTGGAGCAAGCTCTGCCACTGAGACTGACCATTTACCCTCTCAGCCATGACCCTTGTCCTCAGGCCCAGCCAGAGATGACTCAGGAAAGCATGACTGTGGCACTGGGTCAGCCTCAGGTATCATTTTATTATCATAACTATCTCTACTTTCATTAGCTAATTCATTGCTTATTAAGCAGTCAGGCCACTGACTTGCGTGCAGACACATCCTGTCCTTGGGGAAGTCACATATCCTAAAACCTGTGATGCCGCAAAAGCCAGTGGCCACTATCCATCCATCCATTTAGTCCCTCATTCAACATCTCTCTTGCTCTCCACTAGCACCAGACCCTGCACTAGATGCCAGGTCAGAGATATGGGGCACAGAATAAAAAGCTGTGACCCCTGAATTCATTGAACATCCTCTCTATGGCAGAGAGAGACATATGAGTAATTACAATATAGCATGGCCTGAGCAGAGAGAGAGGGATGTACAACAGGAGCTAAGAAGAGAGTGCTTAAATCTGTGGTGATGGGAAAATACTATACCCAAGTGGTAAAGGGGTTTGGGAATAGGGGTTTGCCATGCAAGTCAGGGGATGGGCATTCCAGACAAAGGGGGTAATGGGGGTGAAAACACAGAGGTACCAGAGAGCAAGGGTGCTCAGCTAATGAGTGATCTGGGGCAACTGGAGCCCAGGGCTGCAACATATGGACAGAAGTGGACAGGGACAATGTCACAGAAAAAGGCAGCAGAAAAAGACGTTCCCAATAAAACTGATGGAGACCACGGGCAAGGTCTCAGGTAACAAAGTTAACAAAGGGGACTTCCTGTTCCTCACCGGTCATTCGGGGAAGATATTAAACACCTTAAGGATCATGTCATTTAATTTTCCCAATACCTTTGTGCTGTAAGTACTATCCTTATCTCCATTTCATAAAGAAAAAACCAAGGCACAAAAAGGTTAAGTAACTTGCTCAAGGTTACACAGTTAACACATAGCAGAGTCAAGATTTGATTTAGGAGGTCTGGATTTAGGGCCTCTGCTCTTAAATACTATGCTTTCTTGTATTTTTAAAGACCAAGGATCGCGCCTCCCCTGGTGGCGCAGTGGTTGAACGCTGGGCTGTAAAGCTGCCTGCAGCCTCGGCAGCGCCGGTTCGATCCCCGGCTGATCCCCGGCCACCAGAGGAGGGCCCCACATGGCCCGCAGACCTCTCCTGCCGCCCGCTGCTCCCCTCAGCAGTGTACTTCGGTCCGTCTGCCTGCTCTGCTCCCTGCTCTGGCTCTGTATGTATAAACCAACAAATAAATAAATAAATCTTTAAAAAATAAAAAAATAAAAAGCTTTAAACAAAATAAGGTCAGGGATGATTACCTGGAGGGCAAATAATAGCATCTAGACTCCCTCCCACCCTCATCTTTCTATAAGGTAAAGCAAGAGTGAAAACCTATTCTTAGCTACCTTTGGGTTTAAGTTTTTGATGAAAAATGTGGGCTGTGTGTTCTCTCCCTGGACAGAGTCCCAGCCACGCTGTGCAGCCCGTCCTCGTGTAGTGCCAGGAATACTCATTCTGTCAAAGACGATATACTAACACCATAGCAGGTCTTTTTTTTTTTTTTCCCCTAAAGATTTATTTATTTATACAAGAACGGGGTAGAGGCCAGATGCGCGGGAGGGTGAGAGGATTCACCAGAGCCAGAGCGGGGAGCAGAACAGGCAGACTGACGAAGCACACTGCTGAGGGGAGCAGCGGGCGGCAGGAGAGGTCTGCGCGCCATGTGGGACCCTCGCCCCGCGGCCGGGGATCGAACCTGCGCTGCAGAGGCTGAGGGCGGCTTCACAGTGCGGCGCTCAACCACCTGCGCCACCAGGGAGTCCCAGGAGGTCTTTTTCTTAATGATTTTGGTAGTTCACCAATATGTTTTGGAAGAGTAAATAGATAAACAACTTAAAAGGTTCTCAACTGAAGAACTGAGGTTTGAGAGATCCCATCAACTAAAACTCTTAAAAATTGCCTTTCCAGCAAGCTTCTAATGTGATCCTCAATAAGGCCTCAAAAATGTTCCGTAAGCCCATTTCTCAGCCATCATCGTCGGCCGTCCTCTGTGGAAACGTAGGAGAAGGACTTCTCAGCACCTTCCCGCTCAGAGTTTTACAGCCACAAACCAAGCGGCGGCCTCACAGGCGCACAGTATCGCAACGCGAAAGCCCGAGCGCTTCTGGCGATATTCTCGCGAGAGTTGGTTCCAGCCGATCATGTGACGACCCATCATGGCGGCGCCCAGCGAGGCGGAGGAAGAAGCGGTAGTTTATTTAATAGTTGGTGGTATCCCCTCTGGATTGCGCTCAGCCCAGCTGCGGAGCTACTTTAGTCAGTTTCGGGAACAGCGCGACTGTGGCTTCCTCTGTTTCCACTACCGGCATCGGCCTGAGCGAGCTCCTCCCCAGGCTGCTCCCCACTCTTCCATAACTCCTGACGGCCAAGTTCTCGGCCAAACTTCAGTAACCGATGCTCCTGCTGTTTCCACTCGGGATTCTGCCCCTGCCCAGACCCGCACTTGTTGCTGCGTCATCTCGGTACGGGGGGCGGCTCAAGCCCAGAGGTTTCTTCGTATGTATTCGGGCCGCCGGTGGTTGGATCCTCAGGGGATTTGGTTGCCTGGCCGCTGTTTCATCCGCAGACTTCGGCTACCTACTGAGCCTTCAGGTACGAGTGGGAAAGATAATAGATTGACCCCAAAACAAAGGTAACTTTCCTGAGGGGTGGTGAGGGTTAGTCAGGTATCTGATTACGACTTTGTAGACGTTTAAGTAATTCCTGGACAGAGAGCATCAGGCTCAACTGCACGTTAGTTTAACGTATGGTTGAAAAACCTGAAAGAATCCTGTTCGAATGATCCTGTATTTCCCGATTTGTTAGGACTCCTTGGAGATCCATTTCTTTATCTGAGGGGTTCATTTTTCCGACACAGGAGGAAAAAAGAAAGTCAGATTTCTTACTGTCTTTTTGTCTTTCTTCCATTGCACTCTTCCTGCTACCTACTCGACCCTCTTTTGGCAAGATGCAAATGAAGAGACGCGTCTTTTCTTTCTCAGGATACCTCCTTTTCTCCCATTTCACATTTCACCTCTCAAATCTGTTATAGGACAGGGAGAGGGGCAGCCCAAACCCCGCAAACCTGCCTATTCTAAATGGGTTCTGCCATCCGCCGCATCAACACAAAACATAGGAGACTTTAATGGGAAGGAACTTTAATAAAACTAGGAAACAATACAGGTAAGGCAAAGAGTCTGGTTTCTAAATAAAGCACCCACAGCTACCCGTCCCCTCGTGGGTAAAAGTCCATCCATATGGGATCGGCCCAGAGCAAGGCCCCAAAGCCTGCCACAAGTCTAAAGCATCTTCCAGTGGGGACCCACAGAAAAGGGTCAGAAACTACCAGACAAGCCCGGAAGGAAAAGAGCAAAATCAACATCAAGATAAAAGCTGTCGGGCCTCCCGGGTGGCACAGCGGTTGATCGCTGGGTTGCGATGCTGCCCGCAGCTGGTTCGATTCTCAGCTGCTCCCTGGCCACTGGAGGAGGATCCCACATGGCGCGCAGACCTCTCCTGCCGCCCGCTGCTCCCCTCAGCAGTGTACTTCGGTCCTTCTGCCTGCTCTGCAACCCACTCTGGCTCTGGTGAATTTTCTCACCCTCCCACGCTTCTGACTGTACCCAGTGCTTGTATAAATAAAAAAATAAATCTTTAAAAAAAAAAAAGATAAAAGCTGTCATTGTCTCCTCCCCATGGGTCTCACCCACATCTGTGTCACCCAGTCCATGACCAAAAGACAAGCGCAGTTTCTTCACGTGTCTCTAGGCTCCATGCGCCTCCTCCAGGTCTCCTGGCTCCATCCTGCTTCCTTCCTCAGTCTCCTCTGCCGCTTCTCCTCTTCCTGCTCAGCTCCACCCTCCCTTGGGTGCGGCAGGGAACCTGGAACTTTCCCCTTTCCTGGGGACCACCCTGTTACAATTTCACATTATCTATCACTTTGATAGATAACAGGAAACATCGTAGTGTCATCCAATTCACTCATGCTGTTATAGAGCGGCCCCGATATTGAACGGGTTCCTGGCTGTGGGTCCACACCTGCGCGCTTAAAAGGGACTTATTAATACTCCACTACTGGCACACACAAAAGGTTAATAAAAGGTTTATTTACAAGGGAAAAGGAAATAAGGAAAATGTACAACTCAGGGAGAAAATAGGGAAATAAAGTCTTTTTTTTTTTTCTATATTTTTGCACTACTTTTTTTTTTTTAATAGAGGCATGTTTTATTTATTTGTTTGTTTGTTTGTACATGCACTGGGTACAGTCAGAAGTGCGGGAGGGTGAGAGAATTCACCAGAGCCAGAGCAGGGAGCAGAGCAGGCAGAAGGACCGAAGTACACTGCTGAGGGGAGCAGCGGGCGGCAGGAGAGGTCTGCGCGCCATGTGGGACCCTCCTCCGGTGGCCGGGGAGCAGCCAGGGATCGAACCGGCGCCGCAGAGGCCGCGGGCAGCTTTGCAAGCCAGCGCTCAACCGCTGCGCCACCGGGGAGGCCCGGGAAATAAAGTCTTTAATGCGTCCTACCCGATCCGACAACCTGGAAACCCCAAATCACTCTCAGAGCTGGCCAGATGCTGCTAGCTGGTGGAAAGCCAAAATGGGGGACCCCCCAAAGCCCACGTGTCTGCCTTTTATATCAACCTGGCCTTTCTAAGCCTTTCTAAGCTTAACCCCACCCTCAGTTCCCAGCTACCTTCCCTTTGGTGGGGATGGGATTTGGAGTTCCCAGTGTCTTTGGCTTTGGCCTGGGGTGGGGGTGGAGTCCACAAAGCCTGTATGGAATTAGCTTTAGGACATCCTTTTCCCCCTAACAATTCGACAAATGCTTATGTTGATAGATCTAGTGTGACTCTCACTCCTATACAGAAAACAGTTGGACACAATCTGTTCAGAATCCAAAGAGGAAGACAATTTTGAAAAAGTAATTGTCACAGAGACACCATTCTATTTTTGTCCTGAAGAATTTTCATTCAATTATGTATACATAACAGAAAATAAAACTTTTCCACAAATATTCTCAAGGCTTACAATTATCCAAAAATGACAAAAGTAAAAGCAGGAAAAATGGTAAACAAATGGCAGGTAAATCAATTTGATTCTGCTCTTAAAAAGATTTTAAAAATCAGATAATTTAGTTCAAAACGTGCATTAAATGACAACTGCTGGTGTATTTACTTGATTAGAAATGAAGACCAATAATATAATAAAGCCCTGTGAGCACATTTATCTGGAACACTCCCCTCAGTGTGTGTACGCTAAAACGTAGTGATGCCATTCTAATTGTTAACATTACTGAGCACTTCCTGTGTACAGGGCTCTGTTCTAAGCCTTTCATTTTCATATTGACTCCTCACAACAATCCTACATGGTAGGAGGTATTATTACTCATTTTATAGGTGAGGAAACTGAGGGATGCCCAGAGTTACAGAGCTAGTCAGTAGCAGAATAACAATACAAACCTAGGGAGATTTTGCTGCAGGGTCTGTGCTCTTTATCACCAAGTCCTGTGAGATGATAAAGAAGGGAGAAAAGAATTTCCTAGAGGGATCAGAAAATGTGGCTTTTCATTTGGATCTTAACAGATAAACAAAAGTTTGTAGGAAAGAGTGGTGTTTAAAGTAAATGGATCTGCAAAGACAAAAACATGTGCAAGCCTGTGAAACTTTTGGGCATGTTAAACTGTTTGGTATGGTTGGAGCACATGGCAGGATGGTATGTGTGGGGTGCAGGTTGGTGGCAGTTGAGAACAAAAAAGTCAGCTAGAACCAGATCTGAAAGAAGCTTGTATGCTTACTGTGCTTATGAGAAATGGCATGAAAATATTAGGTGGTTCTGATCAGAGAATGGAGGAAGGGACTCTGGAGAAGTTTGCAAGGGAGGAACAGGCTAAAGGATTTATACCTTGACTGATTGCTGGCTCAAGTGTTGCTGAAGGCTTATAGGTTTCAAGAGCTATTCTTTTCCCTCTGTCCCAAGGTTCGGGCTCCTTTCCCTTCAAGACACGGAAGGAGCAGCAGAGTCGGAAAGCCAACGATGAAGCCTTCACTCTGGCCGACCTGAGGCAATTGCCAGAGCTCAACCCACCAGTGCTGATGCCCAATGGGAATGTGGGGACTCCCTTAAGGGTCTTTTTGGAGTTAATTCGGGCCTGCCGCTTACCCCCTCGGATCATCACTCAGCTGCAGCTCCAGTTTCCCAAGACAGGTTCCTCCAGGCGCTATGGCAATGTACCCTTCAAGTATGAGGAATCCGAGACTGTGGAGCAGGAAGAGCATGTGTACACGGCCGAGGGCGAGGAAATACCCCAGGGAAGCAGCCTGGCAGATACACCAGCCAGCCCCTGTGGAGAGCCGGAGGAGACAGAGGAGAAGGAGGAGGAAGAGTCGTGGCTCTCAGATGACGTGAGTGCAGTAAACCACCCTGTTCTGTTGGCAGCGCAGAGGCCAGGGCATTCGTAATTCCACTCTCCAATTGTATAAGAGTTCTCAACCTGAGGCCCTGAGGAGGGTTCCAAGGAATGACAATTCCCTGAATATAAAACTGTATTTGCACATGCAGATACACATTTCTTTTTTTTTTTTTTTTTTTTTTTTTTTAATAGAGGCATGTTTTATTTATTTATTTATTTGTTTGTTTGTTTTGTTTATACATGCACTGGGTACAGTCAGAAGCGCGGGAGGGTGAGAGAATTCGCCAGAGCGGGGAGCAGAGCAGGCAGAAGGACCGAAGTACACTGCTGAGGGGAGCAGCGGGCGGCAGGAGAGGTCTGCGCGCCATGCGGGACCCTCCTCTGGTGGCCGGGGAGCAGCCGGGGATCGAACCGGCGCCGCAGAGGCCGCGGGCAGCCTCGCAACCCAGCGCTCAACCGCTGCGCCACCGGGGAGGCCCCAGATACACATTTCTTTGGGGAGAAGGGCCAGAAGATTCTTAAAGGGGTCTTGTTTTTATTGCCTCAGAAGGAATATGGGGTTCCTTTTCATAGATGACAAACTAGTGACCAAGATTTCTAAGGAAGCAGAGGCAGCCTGGTTGTAACCCAGTTCCCTTTGGTGCTTGTATGCCCTGAGTGCTTTCATTATGTGGCTAAGAAGTTGCCTTTGTTTTCTCAAGTCTGAGTCACCTTGAGTCTGTGGATTAAGCACTAACTTTATCAATGAAAGGGACATTTCTTCTACTTCCCTCTCCAAACATACTTGTTCATCCATAAAATCAGAAGAGGTGTGATTTGTTGGGAAAACTATGTATACTCTGGGTAAAATGCAATTCACCCATGTCTTCAAAGCTCCCAGGCCAGGTTGCTAACACATCTGGACCACATGCTGAGTGTGGTATCATCGGGACTTTTCTCCAACACCTGCTCTGTAGCCGTGATTCCTGAGGCCTCACTGAGTTAAACCAGGCCAGGAGCACCCAGGGATTCAAGCTAAGAGTCATCCTATCATTCCACAAGTCCAGTCAGTTATAAAACAGGGTTGCTCAGGATTCTAAAGACACCTGAGACCCATCTTCTTCCTCAGAGCTGAAAAATCTCCCTGAGGAGAGAGGACCAGCATCTGGAGAAGGCTGCATGGTGTGGTGACTTGGGTTTGGATGTTGGCTCTATCAGTCCTTGGTGTCTGTCTTGGGAAGATTAATCCTTTGAATCCAGGTTCCTTCATCCGTAGAATGGGAGTAATGGTACTTACCACACAGGGGAGTGGGGCTAATTAAAGAGCTAAGTTATGAGAAAGGCCTGATGAAGTGTTCTTTTCCCTTTTTGCTTTGTGATAATGTATAACTCACGTTAGCATACCTCTCAGGACGATGACCGGGGTGAGGAATGGGAACGGCATGAAGCACTGCACGAGGACGTGACCCGGCAGGAGCGCACCTCTGAGCGGCTCTTTGAGGAGGAGATCGAGCTCAAGTGGGAGAAGGGTGGCTCTGGCCTGGTGTTCTACACGGATGCCCAGTTCTGGCAGGAGGAGGAAGGAGGTATGCTAATGTGAGTGGTCCCCCTGCATTCACTTGGGGGCTCACTTGGGGCTCTTGGTTCCATGCAGTGGATTCCCTGGCAGCAGGCCCAAGCAAAGGGCCAGAGAAGAGGCTTATGTGGATTGCACATGAAAGATCAATTCCCGTTTTAGGGGTGGAGGAGATTAGATGGAGAGAAACTGCTCTCCTCACACCCCTCCCAGAGGAGAGATTTCAAAATACAATTAAAAAACCCCAAGTTCTAGAACAAATGTGTAACTCTAGCTCTGACTCTCCACATGGCTGAGACCTTAACTCTGCTTGATGCTTTTATGTCCCTGCAGATTTTGATGAACAGACAGCTGATGACTGGGACGTGGACATGAGTGTGTACTACGACAGAGGTACTGGGCCAGGGCTGCAGTAATGAGGGATGGAACTAGTGCCCTGGTCTGGTTACCAGACCTGCTGAGCAGAGGCTGAGATGGGACCAGTTCCCTTAAGTAGCCCGCTGAGAGTGTTCCTGTCTTACAATGTCTCTAGGTGAGTTCCCTCAGTGCAGGTAGTAGGCAGAGCCTTTTTCTTTCATTGTGGAGGAGGAAGGACCTGTGCAGACAGCTCTCAGGGCACTCGTTCTGACAGGCAGGCCCTAGTTGATTGGGAGAGTCAGGAGTTACAGCTTCAGTTGAGTTGATTCTGGAGTCAAAAATTACTTGCTTGTGATGGAGGTGGGAGGCGGAGAAGACCTAATTCGGTCTCTAGTGGGTCAGCTCTTTCGCTTTCCTGCAACAGAGTTTCCTCATGTGTGAGATGGGAGAGCCAGGGTTCCTACTCTTGGTGAATTCCCAGTCTAATGAGAGATAATAATAAGGCAACAGAAGATACTTCAGTCAATTTTGTAAGAGGTCCTAGACACCTGAATTGCCCCTTCTGCTGAGATCCTTCTGCAAACTTGGCTCTGGTTCTTCAGATGGTGGAGACAAGGATGCCCGAGACTCTGTCCAGATGCGCCTGGAACAGAGACTCCGTGATGGCCGGGAGGATGGCTCTGTGATCGAACGCCAGGTGGGCACCTTTGAGCGCCACACCAAGGTGAGCACTGTGCCCAGCCCATTGATCCCTCCTTTCCTTCTCTAACCTCATCTCCCCTGCCCCCCACCTCCAGGAGCCCCATCTCTTGAATCTCTCTATTGCCTCTGCAGGGCATCGGGAGGAAGGTGATGGAGCGGCAGGGATGGGCTGAGGGCCAGGGCTTGGGCAGCCAGTGTTCAGGGGTGCCGGAGGCCCTGGATAGTGATGGCCAGCACCCCAGATGCAAGCGTGGACTGGGGTGAGTGTGGTTGGGGGACCTCCCTAGCAGGCCCAAGTAGCCTTTTAGCTGTGCCCTGGTTTTCTCCTTCCCTCTGGTAGTGGGATGGGTGCTGGAGGCTCGCAGGGGATAGAGCAAAGCAGAGTTAGAAGGAAAAATTAGGTCTAGTACTTTCTTCTTTTTTTTTTTTTTTTAAATGTAGATTGAATGATTGACTTTATTGTCAAGATAGCCCCAATGTTTTTTTTCTTTCAATCTTGAGTGAAGTCACCGTCATCCTCCCCCTTGGGACTTCCATGGGTTCTTCTTCTTTTTTTTTTTTTTTTAATAGAGGCATGTTTTTATTTATTTATTTGTTTGTTTGTTTTGTTTATACATGCACTGGGTACAGTCAGAAGCGTGGGAGGGTGAGAGAATTCACCAGAGCCAGAGCAGGGAGCAGAGCAGGCAGAAGGACCGAAGTACACTGCTGAGGGGAGCAGCGGGCAGCAGGAGAGGTCTGTGCACCATGCGGGACCCTCCTCCAGTGGCCGGGGAGCAGCTGGGTATTGAACCGTTGCTGCAGAGGCCGCAGGCAGCTTCGCAACCCAGCGCTCAACCACTGCGCCACCGGGGAGGCCCCTTTTTTCTTCTTTGACAAGCTCTAAGACTTGATAGGATCATTGACCTACTGGGGACATCATTCCCCCTGGTGTGAGGAGTTTGGACTTGATTGCTGTTAGCCTCACTGTAAGTTCAGCATCATGCCAGTTGTACTGAACTTTGTGTACTGTTTACAATGAAAGCGGTGTGTGAGGGCCCCGGAAGCTGGAGCTGTTAACCATAAGGGGGCTACAGAGCAGAGATCCGGACTTTTAAAGGCTCTGACTTTGGGACAAACCAGATATGCAGTAGCTTCTTAGTAGCTCTTTCCCTTTCCTCTCCTAACCCCTTATTGGGATTAGAGAGAACAGGCCTCTTCATTGAGACCCTTTTTTAATCCAGGTACCATGGAGAGAAGCTGCAGCCATTTGGGCAGCTGAAGAGGCCCCGACCAACTGGCCTGGGGCTCATCTCCACTATCTATGATGAGCCCCTACCCCAGGACCAGGGGGAGTCGCTGCTGCGCCGCCAGCCTCCCACTAGCATGAAGTTTCGGACAGATGTGGCTTTTGTGAGGGGGTGCAGCACCTCAGAGCCTGAGTGATAGGCTTGAGGGTTTCTCAGGCAGCATCGCTAACTGCAGAGCCGCGGCCCTCCGCCCCGGCCTATCTTCCATGGACGCATAAAGGAGTCTGGGAGCAGCAATCCCTGTGGCTTGTTTACGGTGCTTTGTTCTGAACTTGCCATCCAGTTCTCTACCTCCAGGACATTTTTACAAGAAGTCCCCTCCGCTCCCCTTTGATATTAGGGTTTAAGCCCCTCTCCTCCTTGGTCTTCTAACCTTAGTCCCAGTTTGGCCTGGCTCATCCAGCCCCCGCAGTACCTTGGAAAGCTGAAGTGACTGGGGTTATCAGCACAGCCTTCTCTGGGGGGGTGGTAAGGAGAGGAATCTACGAAGGTCAGAAGAGAGAAAAGGACCTGGAGGAGACGACTCGCGGCTCCGGCTGAGCCGGCCTCGGGGCGGGCCCGCCACTGCCCCGCCCGCCGCCGGCTGGTGTCTGGCTGCGGAGGGTCCGCGGGAGGCGGCCCAGGTCTGCGGCCTAACGGGAGAATAAACAAGTTTTTTACGGGATTTTCGTTCTCTTCTAACTCGGGGCTGGAGGCGGGCGTCCGAGGCCCCGGCCGGAGCAGCGGCGCGCGCGGCCACGCCCTCGCCGTGGGGCGGGACTTCCCCGCGCGCCCGGAAGCCGGGGTGGCCGGCGGCGCTCGGCGAGCTCGGCCCTGGCGGCGTCGGGGCCCCTGCTGGGCCCGTTCGGTGACCCCCAGCGTCGCCCTGCGTGTCGGGGGGCTTCCGCCCTTGACGCGACTCGGACGCGGCCGCCCGCCCTGCCTTCCTGCCGCATCCACCTGCCCCGCGGACAGCGCGCCGTCCATGGCGGGGGCCGCCCCGACCACGGCCTTCGGGCAGGCGGTGATCGGCCCGCCGGGCTCGGGGAAGACCACGTACTGCTCGGGCATGAGCGAATTCCTGCGCGCTCTGGGCCGGCGCGTGGCGGTGGTGAACCTGGACCCGGCCAACGAGGGGCTGCCGTACGAGTGCGCCGTGGACGTGAGCGAGCTGGTGGGGCTGGGCGACGTGATGGACGCGCTGCGGCTGGGCCCCAACGGCGGCCTGCTCTACTGCATGGAGTACCTGGAGGCCAACCTGGACTGGCTGCGTGCCAAGCTCGAGCCCCTCCGCGGTCACTACTTCCTGTTCGACTGCCCGGGCCAGGTGGAACTCTGCACGCACCACGGCGCTCTGCGCAATATCTTCTCCCAGATGGCGCAGTGGGACCTCAGGGTGCGTCTCGGGTTGGGGCAGGCCCATTTTGCAGATGGAGAAACTGAGACTGGGAAGAGGACGTATGCCACGCCCCAAGTCACACAGCCTGGTAGGGCTTGAGGCGCTTTGGAGTGAAACAGGCGTGAGTTCAAATTCTGACTCTGCCTATGACTTGCTGTGTGGTCCTGGGTAAGTCACTTTGTCTCTCTGAACCTCAGTTTTTTCATCTGTAAAATGGATGTATTAGTACCAACTTGGGATTACTGGAAGTATGGAAGGGGTTATGCGGAAAGTGGCGTGGTGACTGTTGTGAACTGGTGACAACAAAAAGTGACAGAGTAGAGCCAGATGCAGCAGGAAGTGAACTAGTCACTGAGAGACTTAGTGCAGTGTCTTGTAAGAAAAAAATGCCCTGTATCTCTTGAGAGAAGGAAATGAGTGTGGCTATTAGAATGAAACAGAACCAAGAGGAAACTAATGGGGGAGGCTTGTCCTCTTCCCTCAGGCATCATGAGTGATGGGGGAGATATAGACCTTGGTGTTCCCTCTTTCTCCAGACCACATTCATACTGCTTCTTCCTCCCCTCCCAGCTGACTGCTGTCCATCTAGTGGATTCTCACTATTGCACAGACCCAGCCAAGTTCATTTCGGTACTGTGTACCTCTCTGGCCACCATGCTGCATGTGGAGCTGCCCCACGTCAACCTCCTCTCCAAGATGGACCTCATTGAGCACTATGGGAAGCTGGGTAAGAACGCTTGTTCTGAACAGGCAAGGAGTAGAGGAGCTGCTGGGCCAGAGTGAAGTGGAGGCACCAGCTGAAGGACACTGCCTCCTGGGACCTTGCATAGCCTGGTGATAGTATGCACAGCAGGTCATGGACCCTGCCCGTTTATTTTAAAGATTTATTTATTTATGCATATAAGAGCTGGGGTGTAGGCCAGAGGTGCGGGAGGGTGAGAGGATTCACCAGAGACAGTGGGGAACAGAACAGGCAGATGTACTGAAATGCACTGCTAAGGGGAGCAGCAGGCAAGTCAGGAGAGGTCTGCTGCACCGAGTGGGTCACCTCCCTGGCCAGGGATCAAACTCGTGCTGGAGTGGCTACAGATAGCTTCGTAGTGCTGAGACTTAACCCCTTGCGCCACCAAGGAGGCCCCAGCCTATTTATTTTAAGCCAGTCCGTGCTAGATACTGTTCTGGGTTTGGGGGACAAGAGGGATGTGGATAGCGATAATGTACTGTACAGGAACTAGTGATGAGACTGAGTGGCTGGGAGTGAGAATGAGCAGTGCTATCTGGACTGAGGCCTGAATGGTGAGAAGGAGCCAAGCAAGGAAGAGCTAGTCTAGGAAAAGAGGCCAGTAGTGAAGGCTCTTAAGGAAAGAGTTTTTTGCATTCATGGAAAAGAAGTGGGAGAAGCCTAGGGGAGCTGAGCAAGTGGTTGTCAGAAGAAACGATGTCAGAGATGTGGTCAGGGACCAGAACCTGTGCTGTTTGTTTGATTTTTTTTTTCTCTTTTTTGACTCCTTTTTCCCCATGTATTATCTAAACACAGAGGAAAGCCATTGATGAATATTAAGAATAAATACAATAAGCTGAAAAGGCTATTCTGGCTGCTTTGTGGAGAATGAATTGAAAGGGACAAGAATGAAAACAGATCCTTTAGGTTTTTGCAGCACCCCAGTCAGTGGGAATGAAGTAGATAGATTCAAACTTACTCAAGAAATAGGGCCTCCCCGGTGGCGCAGCGGTTGAGCGCTGGGTTGTGAAGCTGCCCGCGGCTCGCCGGTTCGATCCCCAGCTGCTCCCCAGCCACCGGAGGAGGGTCCCACATGGCGCGCAGACCTCTCCTGACGCCCGCTGCTCCCCTCAGCAGTGTACTTCGGTCCTTCTGCCTGCTCTGCTCCCTGCTCTGGCTCTGGTGAATTCTCTCACCCTCCCGCACTTCTGACTGTACCCAGTGCTTGTATAAATAAATAAATAAATCTTTAAAAAAAAAAAAAAAAAGAAATAGTTCATGGATTAGACATGAAAACAGAGAAATAGGGCCTCCCTGGTGGTGCAGCACTTAAAGTCTCAGCACTATGAAGATATCCGTAGCCACTGCAGCATGAGTTTGATCCCTGGCTAGGGATCTACCCACACGGTGCAGCAGACCTCTCCTGTCTCACCCGCTGCTCCCCTCAGCAGTGTATTTTAGTCAATCCACCTGTCGGCTCCCCACTCTGTCTCTGGTGAATCCTCTCATCTCCTGCACCTCTGGCCTACACCCCAGCTCTTGTATGCATAAATAAATAAAATAAATCTTTAAGAAAAAGAAAATAGAAAACAGAGGAATTAAGGATGACTCTCAGCTTTCTAGCTGGGCCAGTACACCAATAGGGTGCCATTTATCAAAGAGGGAAGACTGAGGGAGAAGCAGAATGGCATGAGGCAGAGGAGTTGCCCAGGGGCCCTATGACTAGCATGTTCTTTCCTGCAGAATTTGTGTTCTGCTGAGCTTGGGGGCTTCAGTTCCTGAAATAGCATCTCCAGCCAGAGGGAACCTAAAACAACTGAAATTTCCATCAGTGAGAAGGAGGGGAAGTTGTCTAAAGGATAACTGTCTGGCTGCCAGTCAGGACTGGAGGGATGTCAGCTCCTTGGAGGGGACATCTTAGCCCAGAGTCTTGGTTCTTGCCTTTGCAAATCCAGAAACCCTATTTTTCTACACCCAGATTTTCAGTTCTCCTAACCCTCTCTCCCTTCTCACAGCCTCCAGCCCAGGTGGCTACATGGTGATCCTTAACCTTTCTAGCTCTGACTCTTGCCTGCCATCCTCATTTGTGCAAACCAGATGAGGCAGTTTAGGCCTAGAGATATTACATGAATAGCCCAAGGTCGCTGACACAGCTGATAAGTTAGCTGTGATGAAATCCAAACCCAAGTGTATCTGGCTACTGGTTCTTAGTTCTTGATGAAAAATGTACCTGTCAGACAATGGAAAAAGTTTCTTGGACCACACCCTCCACACCCTCAGTGCTCATGAGGTCTGGATGGGTGCCTCCTCCAGGAACTCAGCACCGACCCCACCCAGGCTATGACAAATGTATTATAATACAAGGGTTTGTTTTCTACTTTTTGTGGCTTTTGAACTTTTCTACCACCCAGGTTCAGAGAGTTGGGGCAAAACAAAGGAATGTGACTTATCTTCAGAAGAGTCCTATTTGTTCCAGGACATTTTTCATGTAGACACAGAAACATCAGTTTCTAATTAGAGCTGACTGGAATGCAGAGTGTGAGGAATGAGTTGATCAGTCTCTGACAGCCTTACTCCCTCACCTCACTTTGGGACAGACCCGCTGAGTGAGCAGCTTAAGTTTTCTAGACAGAAATGGATAGTGCAGAGAGGCCCTTTTTCCTTATAGTAGGAAGTTGGTATTCATAAAACTGAGTCAGGTACTCCGAGACATCTAGTCTGGTTTCCTCATCCAACATTAAGAAGGAACTGACCCAGAAACCCAGAAAGGGAGAGTGATTTACCCAAGAGGTAACCCTGCTAGAATGCAGCATTCATTCAATTCAATCAGCATTTACAGAATCCTGTAGTGGGGGAGAGGGTACACTGACTGAGAGCTTCCTGACGCAGGGATCAAGCACTGTTCATGCTGTGGGTTTGGTATTGTTATTACTATCTTGGTGAAGCGCTGCTCTGTACAGTCACTGGGATTTAGAGCATTCAGTCCTCACAAGTTCCATGAGGTGGGTGCCAGAGTAAACGGCAGAGCCAGCAAGCGATACCAAGTATTTTCTTCTTCGTAACTTCATTTCACTGCCTCAACAAACATTTGTTTAATGAATGAGTGAATGAAGGCAAAGGAAGAAAGTATGTATGATCCCTGGCTTCATGTCTTTGGCCTGATGCCAGATGCTCCTAAATACTAGCTTCTCTCCTTAGCCTTCAACCTGGATTACTATACAGAGGTCCTGGACCTCTCCTACCTGCTCGACCACCTAGCTTCTGATCCTTTCTTCCGCCACTACCGCCAGCTCAATGAGAAACTGGTGCAGCTCATCGAAGACTACAGTTTGGTGTCCTTCGTCCCTCTTAACATCCAGGTACTGGGGACTATGGGGCCTCTTCCCTTGGCCACAGGCTCTGGCAGTGCCTGTGACCTCACCACATGGAGGGTGCAGGAAACTTTCAGGACTCTGGTTTTGTCCTAGGTCTGATTATCATTTGGTCCCCTTGGTCCTGGGACCAGGGGCAGTGATGGGCAGGATTCCAGTAAAGAGGATGAACCAAATTTTGGCCATATCTATTCTGTATCACTGGGTTCTCTCAGTGTGAAAATGGATGACTTCAGAGTCACCAACAACGGACTTGACCAAGACCAGGGATAAGATTCAGACTTCTTCAAGATGAGCAATTGCTGTTAACTTTACAAAGTAACACCCTTGTGCCTCTTACCTTGCACCCTGCAAAGATAACCTGGGAGGCACACGTGCATATAAGATTCCTTTCTGCAGTAGATAGAGCTGGAGAAATTTGTCTCTCTCTTCTTTGTGCCACACTTTCTCCTCTAAATGAGGAGGTGAAGGGCCTCCCCGGTGGCGCAGCGGTTGAGCGCTGGGTTGCGAAGCTGCCCGCGGCCTCTGCAGCGCCAGTTCGATCCCCGGCTGCTCCCCGGCCACCACAGGAGGGTCCCACATGGTGCGCAGACCTCTCCTGCCGCCCGCTGCTCCCCTCAGCAGTGTCCTTCGGTCCTTCTGCCTGCTCTGCTCCCCGCTCTGGCTCTGGTGAATTCTCTCACCCTCCCGCGCTTCTGACTGTACCCAGTGCATGTATAAACAAAACAAACAACCAAATAAATATAAATTAAAAAAAAAAAAAAAAAAAAAAAGCATGTCTCTAAAAAAAAAAAAAAAAAATGAGGAGGTGAAGCCTATGTTAAACATGACAACTGCCGCTTGTTGAAGGCTTTCTCTCCCAGGCCCTGTGCTGAGGACTATGCTACATTATTTTGATCTTTCTCATCATGTGAGGATGAACTGTTATCCCTGTTAAGTAGATGAACAGATATTTATCAGATGCTTATTATTAGCTAAGTATATGCCGGGCACTGGAGATACCTCAACAAACAAGCCCCTAATCTCAGGGGTGCATAGTCAAGTAGAGGAGACAGGTCAGTTTATAGGTGTTATAAGATGGTAGGATCAAAGCTATGGTAGGGATAAATCCTGGGGACTGGGTGTGCACAGAGGAACTTACCTGTTTCATTTGGGTGTGTTCATGGTCAGGAAAAGTGGGACGTAGCCGGGCCTCTGGGGACTTGTAGAACTGCTCCAGGCCACGGAAAGCTGCATGGAGATCAAGGGAGTGTTTGGAGATTGCAAGCAGTTTGGTACAACCTCAGTTCCACACACTTCTGTTTCTCTCCTCCCCACCCAGGACAAGGAGAGTATTCAGCGAGTCCTGCAAGCTGTGGATAAAGCCAATGGCTACTGTTTCGGGGTCCAAGAGCAGCGAAGCCTGGAAGCCATGATGTCTGCCGCCATGGGAGCTGACTTCCATTTCTCCTCGTATCCTTGTTCTCTAGCCTCAACCCCTTCTTAGCCACAGCCAAGAAGGGAGACAGGGCCCTGAAGTGGCCACATCTACCCTTGTAGGTGACTGGTTTTGTGTTGACCAATTGGATTTCATGGTGACTGTCTTTCATTTGCAAAGGCTGGTCCCTGAGAAGGCTTCAGGATTGGTTGTACATGAGGACAAGCGAGGATATTGATCTGAAGGAAGAACTAATACAGAGGCCCAAAGATGAAAAGGCAGGTGCTTGGTAGAGGTGGAAGGGTTCGGCTTGCCTGGTAGCTTGAGTGTGAAGAAGACAAGGAGATACAGGGGTTCCAGGAGGGCAGTGCTGGTGGTGGAGGACTTGGGTGCCTTGTGAGGGAGTGTGGACTTTAACTCTTGAGTGGGCAGTGGGAACTAGCATAGTCACAGACATTTAATGAGCACCTACTGCATGCCAGGTGCCATGCCAGGCCATGTTTTCATTGTGTTTCTTAATCCTCACAATACCGTTTTACAGACGAGGGAAAGAGCTGATGAGATCAGGATTTGAGCCCCTGCAGTCTGACTCCAGAGAGTGTGCGTACACAGCTGGAGGGTTAGCGCACTCTGGTCCTTTGATCCATAGCAGTGTGGGGAAGAGGCAAATGGGGGAGCATCTGCAGCTAGAGGCTTTGAGGGGCTTCTCAAACCCAAGTGTTCCCTGTTATCTGAAGCTATAATTATGAAGAAGGTGGGGAGGGGACAGAAGGGAATCTGCCAGACAGGTTGACGGTGGCATCCATAACAGCTCCTTCCCAGGCCTGTTGTCCATCGCGGCCTATGCTATTTGCCTTGACACCCCTCCCTCAGCACCCTGGGCATCCAGGAGAAGTACCTGGCTCCCTCAGACCAGTCAGTGGAGCAGGAAACCATGCAGTTATAGCAACAATCTGGGCTCTGGAGAGCCAGACACGTAACCTAGCACCGGGGGAAGTGACCACTCCCAGTGAGCAGCGGACAGCTTGGCAGGCACAGATCCAAGGACAAGTCCTTTCAGCCAGAACTGAGAAGCTGGCAAAGGGAGACTCAGCCCTGCCAAGGACATCTAGCCAAAAGGCAGACATGGTGCCCAATAGAGCACCCATCGTCCTCCATGCTTACAAGCTCTGGGCACTACCACCGGGAATGCAGCACCGGCCCCTCCCTGGCAGTGATGGACTGTACTACAATACGAGGGTTTATTTTCTGTTTTTTGTGGCTTCTAAACTTCCTTCTACCACCCAGACCCAGGGATTTGGGGCAGAACAAGGGACTGCCACCTTACCTGGTCCACGTTTTCCCCAAAGTGCAGAAGCATACTGGGGGATGGACAGTCTCCAGTCATGTGCTTTTGTTCATCTCCAATTTTAACAGTGAGCCTTAAATTTGAATTTTCACAGGCAACACTTCTTAGCTAGATTTCATTTTAAAATATTTTCATTGTATTGCATGGTTTTATTCTGTTTTGGGCAAATGTTAACTAGTTTTTCATTTATGGCAGTGATTAAAATTTCACTTTAAAATGAAAACTGGCATTTGCTTCCTTTGCTTTTGCAGCTAGTTGAATGCAATTCATATTTTCAACCAATAGGTGGCATCCCAGGCTTTTAAAAAAATATTTTTTGCATTTGTAGCCTTGGGGCAGAAAGGGACAGATGGTGATTGTGCCAAAAGTCTTACTTGTAGACACTCGGTCCTGTTAACACACGTGAAGGGCTTGACATTTTACAAAGTGCTTCCATGCACATGGTCCTCATGTGGTTCTCACAGCTAACTCTGGAAAGAGGGACAAAATGGGGATGTTACTGAACCCATTTTACAGAGAGGAAACCACAGATAAAGAGTTTGAACTTTGATTCTCTCATGGTCCACTTTACTGACTTCTTTAATTGTGAATACTTACCAGTGAAATGTCAAGGCCCCACAGGGGTTGTAGCCAATCAGGAGACAGAGTGTAGATACTTATCGAGAATTACTAAATCACAAATCAGAGGGAAGAGAGATCACTGTGGGCTTGGGCTCTTGGAGGATTCAGTTTAAAAAAATCTCTTCCGAAGTGGCTTTGCCCTTGATCTTAGCCAAAAGGCCGAGAAGCGATCCGAAGTGGCTTTGCAGTGGGGCCTTTCCCTTTCCAGTTTTGGCAGCCACAGCATAAGACAGAAGAGGAAGGGGCTATGAGGAGGCAGCTGTGGCTGGAACAATATGAAAGCCGGCAACCTCCCCTCCCACGCCTGACCATAGAGGGGATAATAACCAGGTGTTGCTTCCCCAGCCTCTTTCATGTGAGGAGTTCAAAGCATCTCACCCTTATTAACACCCTGCACAGTAGGTGGGGAGTATCAACAGAGCTAGCCAGGGAAACTGAGGGCAGGAGGCACAGCCTAAGGCTGGCTGTGAGTCACCTGTGGGGCTTGGCGCCCAGGTGCTGGACAAATTCCTCATCAGTTAGGATGTGAGGGTGGGTGCTGTGTTTTTGAAAATAGCCAGAGCTGTGGTCATGGGTTTTGATGCTTACCCCATCACAGAGGCTCCAGTGCTCACCAAAGCAAACCAGCTGGCAGGGAGGCGTCATTTAGAACTTTATGGTCTCACATCCAAGCACCCTCAGCATTACTCCTTTGCAGTCCTTAGTAGAGAAGGGGGGAAATAATCCAAATCTTTATCTTCAGGCCTTGGTGTCACAGCAGGGGTGCATTCTCTAGTGACAGCAAGATGATGCTTCCCCTGCATGGTGGGAGGGTACAGCACCATGCAGAAAAGAGACTAGGTGACTTGTGGGTAAGAGAATGACTGTTCTCCAATATGCCTGACATGTGGTAACCTTTGTAAGAATTTTTTATTTTTCCTTTCCTGATTAAAAACACAAAACTAGGGCCTCCCTGGTGGCGCAGCGGTTGAGCGCTGGGCTGTGAAGCTGCCAGCAGCTTCTGCAGCGCCAGTTCGATCCCCAGCTGCTCCCCAGCTGCTCCCCGGCCACCGGAGGAGGCTCCCACATGGCGCGCAGACCTCTCCTGCCTCCCGCTGCTGCCCTCAGCAGTGTACTTCGGTCCTTCTGCCTGCTCTGCTCCCCGCTCTGGCTCTGGTGAATTCTCTCACCCTCCTGCGCTTCTGACTGTACCCAGTGCTTGTATAAATAAATAAATAAATAAATAAATAAATAAATAAATAAATCTATTGTCTTAATAAATAAATAAATAAATACACAAAACTAAAGAAAACATGGAAAATGAAAACAAGCCACCCATAATCCCATAACAGGAAAATTATATATAATACATTTATTATTTAAATATATCTTGTGTGTTTTCCTTCAGTCATTTTTCTATACATGCAGGGAAGCTATACCATTTATCTAAGTGGAGTATGTTATAACTGCTTTGTAACCTGCTTTTTTTAGTTAACACTCATGTAATTAAAAATATAAAGACCTTTTTAATGTCTGCGTGATAATCTGTGGTATGTTGATAACACTGTTTACTTAACCAGACTCCCAACTTTTTGCTATTGTAAATAGTGCCATGATTAACATCTTTGTACCCAAATCTTTGTCTGAGTCTCTAATTTTTAGCTTATGATAAAATCCTGAAAATAAAGTAGACATGTTCGGGTTCTGGATTCATATTGTCAAAATGTCTTCCAGAAAAGTGCCATTTTACATCTCATGGATACTGTCTGACAGGGTTCTCACATCCAGAACTCACTTCTCACTTCTGAAAACCTTCTGGAGGAAGAAAACATCTGAGGCCGAGGCTTTTCTCTGGCCAATGGCATTAGGATACATGCATTTTCTAGCTCTCAATGGGGAATCCCAACAACTGGGGGCCACAGGTTATCGGAAAGGCTTCCACTCCAGACAAAGAGGCTTAGGAGTGAGAGTGTCACCCTAAAGCCCAGAGTTGAATATCCATTCTGTTCTGAGCTGCTTCTGAATTAGCAAACTGGGCAGCCACATTGGCTGCGAACAAGAAGCCTGAACCCATTAGGGTCTATGGAAAGGAGGCAAGACTAATCTTAAAGATGCTCTGTCCTTTCTCAAGGTTCCTGAGGGGGGAGTGGAGTAACTACAGCCTGATGTCAGCACTACTAAGGTGCACCCTGTCTTAGAAAACAGTACAAGCCCAACTGCCCCAGAATTCTGGAGGGAAAATTTCTAGCAAACAAGTAGCTCCTCTCCCTTGCCCTCCCTTTTCTTCTCTATTTCCTTTAGCTGTGGAGCCTTACCCAGCCTGTGCAGGTCTGCCCACCTCTTCTCCCTGTTCCCTTTAGAAGGATTAGTTCCAAATTAGCACACACCTCAACATCAGCATCAGACTGCTGAGGATAGGGGAAGCTGTGTGCCTCACTCCAACCCATTGTGTCCACCATTTCCAACCTCTGAGCCAACTTCAGGCAATCCCAGAAGTCTAGCTAGCCAGGTAGGCTAAGATTGAGGGGCTGGGCTGGGCTGGGCATTTGAGTATTGGCAAAATGCTTTGGATTAGAACACACAGCAAATTCTAAATTTTTTTCCCTACCCATCCAAACCCCTGAAGCAGTTGTAGAGGAGGGAGATGACAGGCCCCTTCAAAAATCACCTCAAACAAAATAGCAGTGTGCTTGCTGCACAAATTCAATTCCCCTTCACACTGGACGTTCCCTCTTCCTCTCTACCAGTCCTGGAGTCTCCACTGTGCACTGTGGAATCGGAAACAACAAAGGAGGAATATCGGGCACAGATAAGGTTTTTCCCAACTCACAAGTCATGCCAGGGTCACATGATCTCTTCCGGTCTAAAATCTGCCCCTCTCCAAAGGGGACAAGTCCGATAAGAAAATTTCAGGTTAACTTTATTCTGGAGAATTAAAATGTGCCTTTTTTCCTTCTTTCCTGCCTTCTCTTTTAACAAATATTTATGGAATACCATAATCTGATATATTATATGCTGTACCTAGCCACAGATTAAAGACTCCATGCTTTTTCTGAGTCTAGGATTTTCCTCTTTTATCTCCAGACAAAGAGTTAAATTTCCCAGAGAGCAGTAAGGAGATTGGGTGGAGATGAGATGAATCAGCTTCTGACACCCCCAGGGTGACATACCTGTCTGCTGCCCCCACAGACATTCCTGGCTGCTGACTCATTGGGCAGGTGGAGCTAAGGGGGTTCTGTGAGGTCACCCTCCAAACAGCAGGGATAGGAGACAGAGCAGACCCCGTGAACAGGGTGAATAATTGAAAAGAAACAAAGCGGGGTAGGGGGGGCCTCCCTGGTGGCTCACGGGGTCAAGACACAACCTATGAAGCTGTCCGCAGCCCCTGCAGCACAAGTTTGATCTCCTCCCTGCAACCCCCGAGCCTCCATCCCCCACACCCCCGCCCCTCTGCAGCCAGGGAGCAACCCTTATAGCAGGAGACCTCTCCTGCCTCACCTGCTGCTCCCCTTAGCAGTGTACTTCCATCAATCTGCCTGTTCTGTTCCCCAATCTGTCTCTGGTGAATCCTCTCAATGCCCCCTACCCCCACCTCCGGCCCCGCACCTCTGGCCTGTACCCCAGGTCTTGTATGCATAAGAAAATCAATTAAAAAAAAAAAAAAGAAACAAAGGATGTAACCAGATTAAGGAAAACTAAACTTGGTGAACCAGCCAAGAAACTGGTTTTGTTGTTTTTTCAATTAAGACAGTTCCTTTGTGCGGGGCCCTGGGGTGGCATTAAATTGATAGCAGAGTAAGAAGGTCTTGATTCTTAGAAAGTCCAAGATAGAGCAGAACAGCATAGCATAATGTGGCTCTTTTCAAACTTATTTTTAAGTCATGAAACTCCAATACACAAAACAGACATATGTGTGGCTATTTTAACCCAAGTGTGTGGAAACAGGGGAAACCCTGACTGCTGGGCTCTTGCCCAGTGGCAGCTTCTGGGGAACCCTCTGAACAGTCAGAAAGCAGCTGCTGTATTTTAAAAGCATGGGCTTTGGAGTTAGACCCTGTTTAACTCCCCTGACACATAACTAGTTGTATAACCTTGGTTATTATTAGGGTAATTTTTTTTTTTTAAGCTGCTTTGAGCACTGGCTTCTTCACATGCAAAACAAAGATGGTAATATGCACTGCTGTGAGGATTAAGGAATGGAACTGCCTAGCACATAGTGGTTGTGCCAGCTGCTATTGTTACTGTTCTGTTCTCGAGTAAGAAGCCAGAGTGGGGCACTGTTGGTCAGAGAGCAATGTTGGTGTAAGCATCTGAAATCAGTTTTCCTAAAAAGGCATCAGTCATTTGGACTCTGTGTGTGTGTGTGTGTGTGTGTGTGTGTGCACGCGCGCCTTGCCTTTCTGGAAGGAGCCACAGTGGCCTGTCTGATCCCAATGCCTTGGCCTCCCTAGGGTGCCTGGTTGGTTTTTACAAGATACCTTAACCCCGGCGCTCTGCCTTCCATCACCCACTACTATGGGTCTACAGAGCTAAATTGGACATTGCTATCTGAAGAAGCTATATGTGAGAGAGAAGAGAAAAACTTTCTCTAGAAAATTTAGGTAACAAATTTTTCCCATGCCTCCCAAATCCTTGGGAGAGGAAGAACTTTGCAAGCCCCAGATCTCCATTTCCTGGGGGATAATGTGGCAGTGCAGAAAGGATGGGGCTAGAGTAACTCAAATCTTTATGAATTTAATCTCTGTCTAGACAGCCCTCCCTCAATTCAACCAACTGCATTTCCATTTCTACCATAGAGGACCTGGCCCTAAACCTGGTTTCCAAGCATGAAGTTTTAAAACTAGGTCTTGAACACAAAACCTTGCTGGAGACGTGTAGGAGAAAAGGAATAATGGGACAATTTATCATTCTTAGGGAGCTCTCTGAGGAGATAAATACACCAGGATCTAGCTGGAAACCCAGTGGGAATCAAGTAGACAGGAACTCATGATTGAATAAATGGACCTATACAGATGTAGGAGGTGACAGAACAGATAACAGATTTGCCCTCAGGAAATGTGTTAAAGGGAAAGGGAAGGTGGCTAGTGAAGTTTTGACCTAAAGATGGACTTTGAAATTTGGTTAAAAGAACATTATCAAGGGGCCTCCCTGGTGGTGCAAGGGGTTAAGCACAGTACTGTGAAGCTATCCGCAGCCTCTTTAGCAAGAGTTCGATCCCAGGCTCCGCCAGGGAGCAACCCACATGGTGCTCCTGTCTCGCCTGCTACTCCCCTCAGCAGTGTATTTCAGTCAGTCTGCCTGTTCTGTTCCCCACTCTGTCTCTGGTGAATCCTCTCTCCCCCCACACCTCTGGCCTGTACCCCAGCTCTTGTAGGCATAAATAAATAAATCTTTTAAAAAAAAAAGCTCAAGTGGAGGGGACAGCGGGAAAGGGGGAGTGGCCACCATGAAATTTCCAGCACAACTTGGCATTTTGGCATTTTCACCTACTTTGCCCTCTGGACTGGTATTTTTTTTATAAAGATTTATTTATGCCTACAAGAGCTGGGCTGTAGGCTAGAGGTGTGGGGGTGAGAGGATTCACCAGAGACAGAGCCGGAGCAGAACAGGTGGATCTACTGAAACACACTGCTGAGGGGAGCAGCGGGTGAGGCAGGAGAGGTCTGCTGGGCTATGTGGGTCAGCTCCCTGGAGGAGCCTGGGATGGAACTCATGCTGCAGTGGCTGGCAACAGCCTAATAGTGCTGTCTTTGACCCTTGCACCACCAAGGAGGCCCCTGGACTGGTATTTTTTTTCTTTTTTTTTTTTTTTGTGGGACCCTCGCCGGTGGCCAGGGATCAAACCGGCGCTGCAGAAGCTGCAGGCAGCCTCGCAACCCAGCGCTCAACTGCTGCACCACCAGGGGAGGCCCATGGACTGGTATTTTTAAGAGATATAATTCATATACCATGGAATTCATCTTTCTAAAATACAAAGTCCAGTGTTCTTCAGTATTCACAAAATTGTGTAACTATCACAATTTATTTATTTATCTATTTATTTATTTTCAAAGATTTATTTATTTTTATACAAGAGCTGGGGTACAGGCCAGAGGTAGGGGTGTGTGTGTGTGTATGTGTGTGTGTGAGAGAGAGAGAGAGAGAGAGAGACAGAGACAGAGAGAGGATTCACCAGAGACAGAGCAGGGAGCAGAACAGGCAGAAGGACCGAAATACACTGCTGAGGGGAGCAGCAGGCGAGAGAGGAGCAGTCTGCTGAGCCATGTGGGATTCTCCTGGGATGGAACCCGCACTGCAGAGGCTGCGGACAGCTTCACAGCGCTGCCCTCAACCGGCTGCGCCACAGGGGAGACCCAACTATCACCACAATTTAAATCCAGAGCATGTCAACGTTCCCCAAGAAACTTCACACCCAAAAGCAGTTGGACTGAAATATACATGTCATTGACAAAGGAGGCCTGGGGCCCTCTGACTAGCGCTGGCTGCTAAGCCAGCTCACACCCTCGCCATCTCCTTCAACACCGTCACCTCTTGGGTAGCTCCTTTCCTTCCCTTGAAAGGGTAACCAGGAGTGGTGTGGAGGGAGTAGGCAAGTTGCAGCCTACGAGAAAAGGAGAAAGAAGTTCCTTTCCCAGGACCTACCCTATTAAGAGAAAGTCACCAGACCTGTCTGGTCAGAGAAACCGGGTCACCTCCAGAGCTGAGGGGGAGTCACTAGCCCCGGCCCAGAGTTTCTGCCTGGTTGGGAACCTTGAAACTTAACACACTTCCAACAAAGGAGGGGAGAAAAAGGGGGGGCGGCCCCCACAGTTCATCAGAGTGGCCCTGCCAGCTTCCCCTACAGACACAGGGGCTCTGACAAGAGCGTGTCAACTTGGGTGCCCGGAGTGTGGCCACGCTTGAACTGGGGGGCCCCTGAGGGGGCTGCGGGCGGCGGAGTGAGCCGAGGCCAGGCCGGCTTCTCAGGTGGCCGGCCCAGGCAGGAGCGCTGCTCCTCAGTAGGGGCCCGACTGGTCATTCTGCTTTGGGCACAGAAATGTCGGCGGAGTCCTTGACCACCGACGCTGGGAGGGCTCCTAACAGCTAAGAACATTTCGGGGGCGACTTTACCTGCACTTATTTTCTCAAATTTCACCACCACTCTTAAGAAGCAGGGACTGTTTTTCAAATCTCCAGTGAGGTAAGAGCCTTGGTCGCGGAGGGCAGGGCGTCAACCCCAGGTCTCCCGGCCACCGCCCCGGGCCGGCCGGCGGAGCTCGGTGCGCGCGCTCCGGGCGCCCTTTCCCCGCGCCCGCGCCCGCCGGCCGGGTCCCGGCCCCGCCTGCAGGAGCCGATGACTCAAAGGGCCGGAACGGCTTTTTCCGCGCGGGCCCGCCCCGCGCCGCTGCTCTGAGGATGCTGAGCTCCCGGGCCGGGCGGGCAGCAACTTGCAGGAGCGAAACCCGCGAAGCGCCGCCCTGGCACTCTGCGGGCGGCGGGGCCCCTCAGACTCGCTGCGCGTCGCGGCGCCGGCGGGGCCACTCGGGCGGCGGGAAGACGCGTCTTGCGCCTTCGCCGCTCACCCCCCATTGGCCAGTCAGGCGTTAGGGGCGGGACCCTGAGCAGAACCCTCCCGTGATTGGAGAACCTCAGCTTCGGGCCCGCCCCTAGCCCCCGGCTCTGAAGCCGCGACCCAGCCGGGCAGCCGCAGGCCTCGGCGTGTTGCTGCCTGGAGCGGAGGCGGCGAGCTCTGCCCCCCTCCACTGGCCTGCGCTCCCAGTGGCGCTTCCAACCAGCTTGCGCCTCTTCTCGGAAAGCGGGGAGAGAGGGTGTGTCTCAGATCTGAGCTCGGTCTCCCTTCTCGAAGATCTGAGCACCCGATGGGACTGTTACCCACTTTCAAATCTGGGGCGCCCAGTGCTGCTTGCTATGACGTATCCCTGAGGCGCTGTCCTCAGATCTCACACTTGAGGCTTAACTGGTTTCCTGTGTCCTCAGATTTGAGCTCTTCCGTCTCTGGCCCCATGAATCTGGCCACAGCTGGCCCAGGAGCCTCAAAACCGCCTTTGCATCACCTGACCCTCTCAGGACCAGACTAAAGTGTTTGGGGCCACCCTGAGAGAGCTGAATCCCCAGCCTCTGACCTGGAGTTACCAGCCCCAGAGTCTTGCCTGTGGGCCGCCGCCTGGTAGGTCAGGCCCCTAAATCAGAGGTCCAAAGTCAGGTTCTCTGTAGAACCTACGCCAGTCCCAGTTCCAGCCCTCAGCCAATAACTAGAAAAGACAGGCGTGTCACAGGGGAACTTTATTGAGAGGAAACATGGTCACACCCAGCAGACATACTTTCCCTCTTATTCTGGGTCTTATTCTCACACAGACACCCACACACCCACCCACACACACACACACACACACACACACACACACACACACACACACACACACATCTCCAGCCTTGGCCACACAGTCCGCATCAGACACAAGGGTGGGACCCTCCTCAATTCTTAAGATCCAGAGGCAGCAGGGGCAGGAGGGAATCAAGAGCAGGGAAGAAGTGGCCTGGTTTACAGGTGGGGTCTCGAAGAAGGGGGTGCAGAGAGCAGGGCTGTGGGATGACCAGTGGTTAGGAGCACCCGACAGCTGCACGAACAGTGGGCTCCCCTGGCTCCAGGTGGCCACAGCTCTGCTGGTCCCGTCGCAGGGATCTTTTCTGAGCTGGAGCAGAGCACACAAGGAGAAAGGTCGGGTCTCCCACCCCATACAAGTCCTCTCTGCTGGGGGTGGGGGACTGGAGAGGGCAGGGCGGGGAGGGTAGCAGGCCTGCCTCAGCTCTGGGGCTCCTCAGGAGCCTCGCCCCCCTCTTCCCCGGTGTTGTCGGCCGTCCACAGCGTCAGGTTGTCTCGGAGCAGCTGCATGATGAGGGTGCTGTCTTTGTAGGAATCCTCGCTGAGGGTGTGCAGGTCAGCCATGGCCTCGTCGAAGGTGGTCTTGGCCAGCGAGATGGCCTCCTCGGGACAGTTGGCGATCTCGTAGTGGAAGACGGAAAAGTTCAGGGCCAGGCCCAGGCGGATGGGGTTGGTGGGCGGCATCTCTTTCTTGCTGATGTCCATGGCCTCCTGGTAGGCCGACCGGGCTGAGTCGATGATGCGCTTCTTGTCGTCCCCGGTGGCCACTTCGGCCAGGTAGCGGTAGTAGTCGCCCTTCATTTTCAGGTAGAAGACCCGGCTCTCGGCATCCCCGGCCTCCTTGATGAGGTGGGTGTCCAGCAGGCCCAGCACGGTGTCACACACGCCCCGGAGCTCAGTCTCCACCTTCTCCCTGTACTGTTGTACCTCCGGGCCCTTCTCCTCCGAGCCCTCCTCATTGCTCTTCTGCTCAATACTGGACAGCACCCTCCAGGCAGCCCTCTGGCCGCCCACCACATTCTTGTAGGCCACGGAGAGCAGGTTTCGCTCTTCACAGGAGAGCTCCTCACCCTTTTCCACGGCGCTCTTCATGAAGGCGGCCATGTCCTCATAGCGTTCAGCCTGCTCTGCCAACTTGGCCTTCTGGATCAGACTGGCTCTCTCCATGGCTCTGGGGACAGGTAGGCAGTGGGGTACTGGCTGCCTCAGGACCAGTGCTGGACTCTGCACCTCTCCTGCTCTCTGCCTGCCTTTTGGCTGGAAGGCCTGGCCCTGAGAGGGGTGGGGAGGGGCGGAGGGCGGGCCTGGAGCCTGGGACCTGCCCCCATCTACTATTCTCCCCACACCCTTTCCGGCTCTTCCTTAAAGGTAAAAGGGCCTGGACATGGGGGGGTGAGTCATCGGGACAGTCAGCAGGAGAAATCCGGGCGTTGGCCCCACCTGTACAGGCAGCTCTCCAAGCTCCAGATTGCCCCCTCTTGTGCTCAGCCCCATTACATGGGTGCCCACGTTAGGAAGCTGGCCCAGATTCTGAAATCAGATCCTCACGGTGTCCTTCCAGGGGCTCGGGATGACTTCAGCTCAGGCAGAGCCCATAAAACCAGGTGCAAGAGGAGGGGTTCCAAATCCTGCCAGGTACATCCCCTGGCTTCGTGCAGGTGAGATCATTCGTGTCTAGGTAGGGATACATGGTTTTCTCAGCACTTTCATATCCATGATCTAATTTCACCCCTGGTCTGTCTCTGTGGGGCGGGCAGGATGATGACTATTACTCCCACTTGGGAGATGGAGATACTGAGGCTGAGAGGAGTGAGACTTACTTGGAGTCACAGCTACTAAGTCACCTCGTTCTTCTTGCTTTGGCTTCCCTTCCTTCAAAGCCTCTGAGCAGTGAGCTGCACACACTCTTTCAAAAATGAGATCCAAGCTTCTTCCAGAGTCTACCTGAAGTGATGCCCCTGCCTGGTCCTCGCCGCCCCCCCTCAGGATCCTGTCCCCCTCTGAGCTCCCAGAATGCACAGGTGGCAGCTTTTAGGGTGCCACTTAATGAGGAGTTTAACGAGCGGCCTGTGACGCTCCAGCCCAGCCTTTGTAATTAGTCACCCAGTAGGTTTGTCGGACACCTTCCCCGTTGCAGCACAATTTTCCCTTTCAAGTTGGTGGCCTGTTGCCACTTGTTTGAGGACTTACCCTCTGGCTCGCCACACCAGGTCACCTGCCCTTTCCAAGCCACCTGCTGTCCTGTATCAGTGGGGCTCACAAAGGGTGGGGGCCCAGCTTGCTGGCTGGCCCACTTTCCTGCCTGACTCAGCCCGCCCTCTGTCAGAGGCTGGGAAGCAGGCCACTTGGTGCTCAGCCCAGTTTGGTTCCCCAGGGGGGACGCTAGCAACCTGGGGAGAGAATCAGGACCAAGAAAAAGGAGGTAGTGTTGACACATACTATTTTGTTTTATGGGGCAGAATCCCAGCTGAGTGCTGCCTCCCCCAGGCTGCCTCTCAGAAGTTTCCCTGTCTTTCCCTTTGACCATGGCCCCACCCCTGACCCCAGCAGAGGCCTCTGAGATGGAGACTCCTCTGTAAGGAACCTCTGTCCCTGTTCACTTGGGTTATCCTGTGTCAGCCAAGAGTTTCCCCTAAAGGCGTTGGCTCTGTGCCTGTGAGGATGGGTTCCTGCCTATCTGCCCCTCTCCTAGCAAAGCCCAGATGGGGCTGAGGGGTGGGGCTCCGCTCCCTAGGTTCTAGATAGCTTAATCCTCGAGCCAGGACCTTTTCACAGACCTGTCCCTCCTTTGGTTCTTCTCGGTATCTGGACACCTACCCTCCTCTCCTGGAAGGAGGCCTAGGTCAGACACTGAGGCCCAAAGATGAGACCTGCCTCTTCAAAGGAAGAGTAGGGACAAGTGTAGGCTGATGCTACAGGCTGATGCTTCCTTTCCAAGGAAGAAGGCATTTTAGGCTTGATGCCCCCAAGTTTTTGCTCAAACTAGATCACAGACACTGACATGACGGGAAGGAAACGCACTTAGGTACCAGCTTACAGAGCCGATCTTTAGGTAGTGGGATTCCAAGTGATTTGTTTTTCCTTTTCCTTTTCCTGTGAGGTTATCAGCGGCCAGTGTGTATTTTTTTCTATGAGGGACAGAACGGCTCACTATCTGAAATCAGACTGCCTGGGTTCAACTCTTACAGTGTGCTTGGCCTTGGTTAAGTGACAACCACTATGAGCTTTCCTCAGTATAAAATGGCCTGGTGGTACTAGGGGTTAAGCTTCAGCACTATGAAACTATCCGCAGCCACTGCAGCACGAGTCCCATCCCCGGCCAGGGAGCCACCCACATGGCGCAGCAGACCTCTCCTGTCTCACCCGCTACTCCCCTCAGCAGTGTATTTCGTCAGTCTGCCTGTTCTGTTCCCTGCTCTGTCTCTGGTGAGTCCTCTCACACCCCACCCTCAGCCCCCTGCACCTCTGGCCTATTCCCCAGCTCTTGAATGCATATATAAATAAATCTTTAACGTGGGACCTGTTGTGAGGATTGAGTTGATAGAAAGCACTTAGTAGACTGCATGGTGATTGTTACGTGGAAAGTTCAACCAACTGTATTAATAATAAACATATACACTCAAAGCACGAGCAGTGCTAGGTTCTATGAAATGAGGAAGGCCCTGAGCCGGCCCCTGCCCATCTGGGTGTCCTCCTCTTCCCTCCCTAACAATGCTGGGTCAGATGCACTTGCTCAGCACTGCCTCCTCCCTCCCATCTTGGACATTTTTCTGATCCACAAAGCCCCTGGGCTCTCAAGGACCTTCCCCTGTACTAGTCACCCAGCCCAGGCGTTCCCAAGTCCTGTGAGCAAGCTGGAGATCCCAGAAACCTAGAAGACAGGGTCTGGCAGGCCCCGGCACTTTGGAGCTTCTGTTTCTAGGGAAGGAACACTCTCGTCCTGATGCTCAGGGACGGGAGGCCTGGTGGTGTCTCACCACCCCAGCGACATGCCCTGGGCAAGGCCCTGAGCAAGGGAAAGGAAGTCCCTTCACTCCAGCCCCTCCCCTGCTGAAGATCAGGGGTGAATCTGGGAGCCAGGCTGCCTGACACCTCCTGCCCGCTCTGGCCTGTCGATCCTGAGTCAGTTCCTGTCTCAGGTTCCTCCTTTTGCCTCCAGGCCTCCATTTCCCAAGTCCAGGAGCCCAGGCAGGCAGGAGGCAGCAGGCCCTGGCAGGGCATGGAGTTCTACAGCCAGCTACCTGAGTCAGCAGGAGAGGAGCTGGGGCTGCAGCCTAAAGGGGCTTTTCCTCAGCCTGCCTGCTTGCTCCCCACCCTTCCACATAGCATCTATCCCAGCAGTGGGCTCAAGGTCTCTGGCACCATAGCTAGCCAAGCCTCCTTCGCTGGTAATGACAGGCTTAGAGAGTTGTGTGAAGGCAGAGACCAGGTGTTATCTGTCTCAGCTGAGAACAGGGGACAGAGCTCTGATTGCAGCAGGGGGACCTCTGGTTAGACTCCAGGAAGAACTTCCCAGGAACTGTTTCAGTCTTGGAATGAGTACATTAAACAGGTGCCTAGTAGACATCATGAAATCTTCTCCCCCTGGTTCTTTGTGAACAAAAGTTCAGTTATCCAGCCAACAGCTCACTCTACTAGTTGCCTTTGGGAAGGGACATTAGGTTACTTTTAACTGACTCAGCTATTCTGAGTCTTTTTCTCCCCAAGGCACTGCTGTTTAGTGTATCCCACATCTTCTAGGCTAGTCCAGTCTAGGGCATAGAGGAGAATTTTGGGGAAGAAAAGGGAATGAGATCAGGGTGTAGTCTGCGTCCCAGCTCTGTTAGAAGGCCGTGAGCAGGTCCCTTCCTGCCTCTGGGTCTGTTTCCCCTCTGGTACAGCAAGTAAGCTAGCACAGATTATGACATCCTCTAATTGTAGGGTTTCTCCCCCCTCCTCCCCAAGCTCTCCTCCTGAAAGAGTGACATTCACTGCCTGGGTAGCACAGAAGGGTCAGAGGTCAGGGCAGAGATCAAATCCTGGATTCTCTGCTTTGCCAGGTGGGAGATCCTGGGCAAGTCCTGTACCTTCCAAGCTGCAGCTCTCTCCTCTGTGCAAAGGCTGACATCACCTCATAGGCGAGGAAATGGGCCTGGCACCTGGCAAGCCTTCGATATATGGCCGCTATAATTATGTTTTCCCACTCAGCACACTGTGTGTGACTTGACGAGGGGCTCAGTTCAAGGGTATGATAGTCCCACATAGAAGTGAAACCCTGTCTCTGCCTGGGCTGGGACCTTTTCAGAGATCAGCTAAGGCCTGAATATCTCTGGAGGGCTCTGGAGGGCTCTGAGGACGCTGGCTACTCTTCCTGTGTTTTTCCTGGCCTAGTCATTCCTATGCCTCTTCTGCAACCTCCAGAACCACACTAACCAGCCAGAGGGAAGCTGGACTCAAAGGGAAGCTAGAGGTTCCCCTGCACACCCATGGTAGGGCCCAACCCCCAGACCCTGAAGTAAAGGTGGACCAAAGAGCCAAGAGTATGGCAAGAAGAGGGGAATCTTTATTTTGGTTAAAAAAGGTACAGGGCAGCAGACAAGCATCCCCCAGCTGTAGGTCCAGTCTAGTTTCCTTTAGTCTCTCCAATGTTCTGGAGCTAACTCAGTCCCTCAGTGCCTGGAGCAAAGGCAGCAAGCATCTCCCTTGCGTCCTACCTACTCCAGGTGGTGGGGGTGGAGGGGCCGTGGGAACCGTGTCAAGCTGGTTGCACTTAGAACAGTCACCCAACTTGTTCAGCGGCGTCATCAACCATCAACACCAGACAGCTCCTGAAGAAACCTGCTCAGCTCGACTGTGGCTAGGCCTGATAGGGGGGAGGGGGGGGCAAGCTGCAAGGCAAGATTCCTAAGGAGTCTTGACACTTTACAGATCTGGGGAAGGGGGAGTAGGTGGAGCTGGGGAGGGCGAGTTCAGCGTAGTGTCACGGCACGCGCTGACAGCTGCATTATGGCTTACTACACTCAGGCCGGTGTGAAGTAGGGCAGAGAGGCCGGCTCCTGCCCCGTTGGGGGCCCTGGAGAGCACACGTGTGGGGCAGGTTTGGGGGCAGACCCTGTAGGCACAGATGGTGGCAGGTGAGCCACGGGTTAGGCAGGTGGAGGTGCCGGGTGCCTGGCTCCCCCCAGGCCACTCCTGGAGAGGCAGAGAGCAGAGGTCCTCAGGAGGTCCTTAAGCCCCCGAACACACTGGAGATCCCGGCATGACAGCAGAGGAGGAGAAGAGAGAGGGTTAGCAGGATTGAGAGTAGGGAGGAGGCCTGCAGGGGTGCGAGCAGGGACAAGTGATGCCCTGGCACCTGCCTCTTCCCCACAGAAGGGCCAAGGCTCAGGCAGAAGGCAATGAAGCAGGAAAGTAGGCAGGTGAGAGAAAGCTCAGCAGGGACGGAAAGGCAGGACACGAGTGTTAGTGCGCCAGGCCCCTGCCCCGCAGGACACCACCAGAACAGGCCCGAGCACCTCGGAGCAGGTGGGCCATCCTCTCCCAGCCTCACCCTTCACCTTCTGCTCCGGCTGGAGAGCCACTCTACTTTCTCTGTCCAGAGTGGCCGGGCTCTTCGCCTGCCCCCACGCCCCATCCTTCTGCTCAGGGGGAACCCAGAGGGTCCTGCCACGGCCAGCACACATACCACACCACACACCAGACAGATGAATGGCTCCACGGGTGGGTGAGGCATGCGATGAGGATGAGATGGCGTGTGAGGGGAGTGGCAGTGCTGGCCGACAGGGGAGATACGGTCTTACCAGCTAACCCTCTGTCAAGAGGCCTGTTAGCTCCCCTCAGGCTGTGCAGGAGATGGCAAAATCCTGACAGGTGTCCTCCTGGGGGGAGATACCAGAGAGGCGGGCCATGTTATGAACTGTGTGGCCGGGCCCTGCTGCCCAGGTGGGTGGGGGCCATGGTGGCTCCGGCTGTCAAACTAGAATCTACTGTCTCATCAACACTTTCTTAGTTGAACAGTCACTGGGGGTCAGAGTAGAAAGGCAGCAGGGAAGAAGTTGGGGTCTCCAAGCCCCTGAGGCAGGGGAAGGTAAAGAGAATGAAGAGGAGACAGGATGGCCTCTTCTCACAACTGAGGGGCCCAGCCGCAGTCCCCTCGGCTCTGCTGCCAGCAGGTGGACTGCCAGCAGACGAGAACTGGCCAGATGGCTGCCTGCTTTCTCTCTGCCTTCCCAGAAAAGACCGCGCGGGGTGAGAGAACAGGCTGCTAGCTGGGCCTCAGCAAAGGAAGAGCAAAAAACAAAACAAAACAAAAACAGAGCAAATCAACTCTTAAAAATGAAAGTTTTATTACAAGCAGAAACAAAGAATACTGGCTTAAATAAAAGTCAGGTGGGAGTCCCCTCCTCTTGCCACTTTCCTCCTCTCCCCCAGGGCCACTGCAGCATCCCCCAGCCCCAGCCCCTAAGGCTGGGGTGAAGCTGTTTCTCCCCGAGGGGGCCCTCTGTGGCGGCCACTTCTCAATTCTTTGTGACCCTCTAGTCTCTGGAACAAGGAAGCGCAACATGCAGAGACTTCCTATGTCACTTCCCAAGGGCTTCGGTCCACTTGAGAGCCAGGGAGGGGGATGGAGGACAATTTTCTATCATTCTGATAATTGTAGCTCCCAGCAGATGAGGGTCATCCTCTGAGTTTCTGGCCCCGATGTAGGCCAGTCTTCACTCATGGCCCACCCAGCCCCTTCTTCCTTTCCTCCGGAGGGAGGCTGCCAGTGGCAGACACTGCCAGTCCTCTAGCCCTGGCACCAGGCCCCGTGCTTAGAGCTCGGAGGAGGAACGGGGCTTGTAGGGTGGCAGCCGCTCCCCAGCAGCCATTACCCCATCCACCCCGCCCAGCCTCGGCCTGTCTGGGCAGGTCCCAGTTGGAAGCCTAACCTGGGGGCTAGGTGGCAGGAGGTGGCGAGTCCCCAGCCACTGGTTGTCTGAAGTTCGAGGAGGAAAAGACAGGGTGGGGGCGAGCCACAGCAGGAGCTCAGCCATTTCTCGTGACCAATGCACATGCTCCCTGTCCCCACAGCGCAGGCTACTCCTGCTGCTGACACCCAGGGGGATGGCGGGGAGGGGACAGCCCAGGGGATGTGGGGAAGTGGGAGCCAGTCACATTCGCACATGGGCACACGAACACACTCTCACGCACAGCCAGAAGGTCTCTAATAATTAACTTATTAAAACCAACTTGCCTTCTGGAAACACTCACCCTGGCACTACAAATAGCAACGTGACTTTTTTTTTTCCTTCTTCCATTTAAAAAATGCTATGTAAAAAAGAGGTCTATAAAATTGTGCAAAATACCCAGCATTAATAAACCCGTTTCAAGTATTGCCAGTATATGCATAACCCTAACCCATCCCCAGACCTGGCTTGGGAGAGGTGGGGGGTCAGGCTGAGATCCCATAGAGAACCTTCCATGGGCAGAGAGAGGGCCAGGCCTCACCTCCTAGAGTGCCACCCAGGAATCAGGCAGAGGCTGAGTCTGGGGATCCTGGCTGGCTGGTCTGGCTTCCTCGGATACAGGCTGCTCCCCCCACCCCACCCCCACCTCTGCTTCTCGCCCTGGAACTCCAGGTCTACCCTATTGGACAACTCCAGACGAAAACAAACAACAGAAATCTAAAAAACGGAAGAACAAATGATGACCATCATAAAAAGGATGGAGCCCACAAACCAAAGCAGCACACGGGGGCACCCGCTCCCACAGCCTGCTGTCTAGAGCTGACTGCTCACTGGTCCTGCTTCGCCTCGGGACCCTGGCTCGGCAGGGCCCAGCAGCTCCCCTCACTGGGAGATGCCACACTCAGTCCACCCCTCACTCACACAGGGCTCACGTGACACAGCAGACCCCTGGTGTGGTTCCCCTGGGTGGGCTCAAGGCTTTGGCCTCTTTCTTATCACTCTTGCCACTTATCAGCGGAGAGGATCTAGGGCCTAAGGTTTTGGGAACCTGGGTTTGGGGAGCAGAGGATACAGCCACAGAACAGGGTGAGAAAAGCCACGCAGGGTGGGAAATAAATACGAAAAGACTGGAGTCTTTGGCAGCTCTGCATCCCTCAGGTGGCATGAGGAGGTTCCCAGCAGGTGAGTGCGCAGGGGCGGACCGGCCAGCGGGTGGCAAGGACTGAGCCTGGATCAGGGGTGGCCTCCTACCATGCTGGCGTCGGGCTTGGCTCCGAAGGTGGGCTCGTCACTTCTGATGGGCGAGGGCAACATGGTGTCGGACTGCACAAATCCCCTCCGGTCAATCAGGCTTCCAGTCACAAAGGGGGAGAACATGTGAGGGCCCTGCCCGACACCAGAGTCCCAGGCTGGGGGCTGGTTGGCAGAGTCCATCCCCAGCCAGGACCCAGCCCTAGAGAGGTGAGGCAAGGGAGCTGTGCTCCATTTGGGAGCTCAAGGTCCTCCCCTTCCTGAAGGGTCCTCTCTACACTACGGACTTTCAGCCACAGGATTTGTTTACTGTTAACTCAAACTGGCCCACCTTTTTTTCTGGTTGCAGATAACGGGAAAGGCAAGGATGAAAGGGCCTCTGGAAATAGTGAAATTCCCACTGCCCTGACCCCAGGGGCAGGATGAGTGACAAGCATATCGGGCAGCGACATGGGAAGTCTTGTTCCTGCAGTGTCCACTGCAATTTAACTCCAGTTCTGGCGCTCTGGCGCCTCCTGGTGTCGGGACAGAGGGGGCAGCGGAATATGTAATCCTCTTTATATTTTGAACTTTTTTCTACAATGAGCATGTGATTAAAATTTCTAACTCACCACAGAATCCCTTTCCACAAAAAGTGTCCTGAATACATTCAGCAGGGGGTGGTGGACAGAGAGGGCGCTTGTGGCGTGGGGACTGGTCTGCTGATGTCCAGAACTTTTGAGAAGTGTGGCTGGGGTGGGCCCTGTACCCTCTCCTCTGTACCCACTGGCTTACCTGGGAGGTAGGGGGCCACAGAGCACAGCGCAGCAGTTGGTGATAACACTTTTATGGCTGTAGGGATTGACGGAGGTCTCACCGCCCCTCTTGCTGGACCATGAGCCTTTGATCTGCAAGCAGGAAGGAGGTCTGAGTCAGGTACTGCCTGCAATGTACTTTTCTACAAGGGGAGCCTAGAGGTGGGGAAACCCAACACATTCTGAAGCCAGTTCTGACTAGTCTATTGCAGGGGACATGTCTTTAACCGAGGAAATAGCTGAGCCAGAAGTCTCCAAAGGAAACTCTTTGGGTGCACCCTCCCATCTCTGGCCAGCCACCTGGCAGGGAGGGTGGTCCAAGGGCAGGGGCTCAGACCTGGCTGTGAACCCTGAGTCTTGCATGACCCTGGACAAATCAATACTTCTCTGAATTTCAATCCTTGTTTGAAAAAGAGGACCTTGGTAGCAATGCCAGAGCGGAAGGTGGGATCTGTCCATCTGCAGCTCTGCGAAGTGGCTGCTGCAGGCACTGAGTTTAGCACCTTCTGATCCAGAGTTTTCCAAGCCTTTTTGGCCCCAACACTGCTTTCTGCTTAGCCTCTAGTATCCTCCTGCATAGCTAGCACCCAGGACCCCACCAGGGAACGAAGGGCTGCCCCAGCCTTACTCACATCTTCATTGGTTGTCAGGTTGGAGGCGACGAGGTAAGTGTGAAACCCTGAGAGGCCCAAGATGGACCAGATGGAGAAGAAGCAGATCACCAACTCCAGCACGGTGAGCACAGTCAAGGACCCACATGGGGATCAGAGCAGGAGTCTCCTCCCATGCCCGGGGGCGCATGACACACCGGTCTAGCGCCTATCTTCTGGGGAGCTGTTTCCCCAGGAAGGAAGGAAGTTCGTACCCTGCCTGTGACCCCAGCATCACTTCTCAATAGGATCACTCCCTGGGCCCCAAGGAGGGCTCAGGAACCCCCTCAAGAGTAGGATGAGGGGCCTCCCGGTGGCACAGCAGTTGAGCGCTGGGCTGCGAAGCTTCCTGCGCCTCTGTAGCGCCGGTTCAATCCCTGGCTGCCGGCAAGGGTCCCACAAGGTGTGTGGACCTCTCCTGCCATGCCCACTACTCCCCTCAGCAGTGTATTTCATCAGTCTGCCTGTTCTGTTCCCCGCTCTGGCTATGGTGGATTCTCTCACCCTCCCGCGTTTCTGACTGTACCCAGTGCTTGTATAAAGAAATAAATCTTAAAAAAAAAAAAAAAAAAAAAAAAGAGTAGGATGAGCCCGGGGTGACGGATGGTAGGGTTCTAAGCACCAAGATCAACACAGACGTGCTCCAGAGAGTGTGCGACATAAGGGAAGCCACAGCCTCCGAGAGTCCGTTTAGGATCAGCTCTAACCTGAACATGACCAGAAGCAGCGTGTATAGGGGATTCATTTCTACACCACTCCCCAGTGTTCACAGGATGAGGTAAGGGGACCCACCCCAGTGAAGGGGCCTCAGTCTCCCCTGAGGTGACCACTAGCTGACAAAGGATATCTCGCTGGTGTCTCCTTCAGAGTGGCGAGGAAGTTGCTTCCCTGAGAGCCTGGGGAGGAAGACACATTAGAGGGCATGCTCAGAGATGGCAACCACCGCCTCCTGACCTTGGTGAGGTCACTGGCCGGGCACCCTCCTCTCCACCCCACCCCGCCCCCACCCTCAACTCACGCAGCGTCAGGTGGGTGACCACGCAGGCGAAGATGAAGGCCGTCAGGAAGGAGAGGGAGAGAATAAACGCGTAGAAGAAGCGGTAGTTCCGTCTCCCCACACAGTTGCCCACCCAGGGGCAGTGATGGTCAAACCGTTCTGACAAGGGTGAGAGGACATGGTGAGTGCGGCCTCGCCTGCCACCAGCACAGATGCTTACAGGCCTCACACCACAGCTGGTGCCCTCCTCCCTCCTCCACTCTCCGCTCTCAGTTCCTCGGACACAGCCTGCTCCGGTCCTTCGCTGATGGCTCCCACTGCCTGCACATTCCTCCCTCACTCTTCACCATCTCAGCCTCAAAGCCCTTTCTTTATGTCTCCTCCAATCCAGTCTAGGTGGGACCCCTATTATCTACCTGTGTTCGCTGGTCACTTATCTTCTGTGGCACTTTGCCTGTGCGTGTATTTATTTATAATTATTGGACTGATCAGTTACTCCTGCTCAATTGTAAGCTCCATGTGGGGGCCTCTTTTGGCTTCACAGTGAATCAATCCTGGGGTCCAGCAGATACCCAGAAGATCCCAGTGAGCATTTGCTGCCTGGCCTATGATCCAGGCCACAGCCTAACACTAGAGGTGCAGGGAGGGGCTGAGCCACTATGTAACTCATCAGCTGTCATCGGAGGCCCAGTCAGAGGGATGCGCTCGCATTAGCATGCTGTCCCTGAGGGTAGAACCAACCATGCCATGCTGGGAGGAAAGTGCCCTGTGGGAATGCGGCTCACAAGTCCACTGCAGGCCTTGAGCTGAAGCTAGTACCCTCTGCAGGGGGTGGGTGGGGCAGACTCTCAGGATGAACAACGCCCACTGAGTCACCCACTCTCTGCTGCTGGCGTCATGGGGTGTTCCTCACTCTGCTCGGGGAGTGCTGAATGAGCACGATGAGCTCACTGCCCTGGGGAAGGTGCACAGTCACCATGGCTCAGTTCACCTGGGTCCCTGCGCAGTTTCCCTCTCAACACGTTCCCAGGGGCACACTCTCGGTCCCCATCAGAGCTGCCTAACCTCTGGAGAGCGGAGAAAGGGGACAAAACAGCCTCTGGTTCCCCAGCAACCACTGCAGTTATGGTTCAGGAGCTACATCCTCTCCACCTCATGAGCTCCAACTCCTTTGACCAGCAACTTGTCCCTTCCCGAACTCGAAATCGAATCAACATTTCAGTATTGCTTTTCCTGAGTCCCTGCATAGTAAATATTCTCTTTCTGGCCCAAACTGAAGGAGAATGTTACTGCTCTGGTCTCTGCTTCCTTGGAACCTGGGCCTGCTAAGGACTGGGCTGGGGGGTCTCCCAAGGCCCTCTGTGTCTGCCTCCTACTTCAGAGCTGGGAGAAGGAGTCCACCAGTCCTAGGCTGAAACACACCACTGGTCACGTCCAGAATAAGCCCTCCCTATGGCCTCTACTCAGAATACTTCTCTCCTGCCTCCAGGACTCCAGTTCTCTCAGGATCCCCACACGTTCCCTGCTACCTCGCACTCACCCACACAGTTGTCACAGACACTGCAGTGTGAGGTCCGCGGGGGCCGAAACATCTTGCAGGTGAAGCAGTACTTCAGCTTCACCATCTGCCCGTTGATCATCACCTCCCGGGTCCGAGGAGGTGGCCGGTACGTGGAACTTCCTGTGTTGTCTGAGAGCAGGAGGAGAGAAAGATTTGGGTGTCCAAGCAGCCCAGATTGAGGTACCCCAGCAGGGGGAAGCCACTGCCATCTGGCTGAGACAAGAGAAGACTTGGGGAAAGTGTTTCTGGGCATGAAAATTGAGGTAAGATGCTAGCCTGGGCCTCCCTGACAGCACAGGGTTAAGGTCTCAGTGCTATCAAGCTATTGCCTGCCACTGCGGCCTGAGGTCGATCCCCGGTGAGGGAGCTAACTAACCCACATGGCGCAGCAGACCTTTTTCCTCTCTTGCCCACTTCTCCCTTCAGCAGTGTATTTCAGTAGATCCACCTGTTCTGCTCCCCACTCTGCCTCTGGTGAATCCTCTCACCCTCCGTACCTCTGGCCTATGCCCCAGTTCTTCTATGCATAAATAAATAAAAATAAATCTTTAAAAATAAAAAAATATGTTGGCCTAAGATCGGGACCAATTTTAAGAGCTGCTGTGACTTACTGGGATTTGCTGTGTATCTGTGCTAAAGCTTCACATACCTACTCACACGCCCTTCGCCTTCCACAGCTCTGAGAAGGGCTGCCAGAGCAGGAGACTCCAGGCAGGCTTAGTGAGGTTTATCTGCAGCTAATTAAGCCTGGCACTGGTTTCAGATTCTAGGAGGTTCAGGAGACCAAACGAACAAAGTAAATAAAGCCACAAGGAAATAATTAGCTCCAGAACGTGGGCCATCTACAACATCACAAGTCTGATCTTTAGCAAGTCTCGGTCCCTTACAAAAAGAGAGATTGTTCTAAGTTAAAAGAGATGTTTAACTTAGATGTAACACATGGTCTGAGATTGGATCCTGTTTCAAAAAACAAAACACAGCAACAAAAGTAATTTGGAGGGCAACTGGAGAAATGTGACTATAGATTAGAAATGATAGAACTACTCATTTCCCAAGGCGTGAAAATGGAGCTGTAGTTACGCAGAAGACTGTCCTTATATATATGTTTTTAATTAATGAGGTACTATTGTTTTCCATCACTGTTAACATTCTGACAATACAGGACTGCTCCCCTCAGGTGTGGTCATCGTAGCTCTTGCACCACCAAAGCACCCAGTCCTCTGCATGGTCCAATGTGTTCTCCACGCCCCTTCTCATCCCTCTTCCTCTCCCCTCCCTCTTGGATGCCTCAGGTCTCTGGTCAGCTTTTAAGGATAGGATTTATGGTCTGTCTTTGTTTGACTATTTGGTTTCTCTATAGTCCACATGTAAGTAAAACCACCTGGCATTTCTCTCTCTCCTGATTTATTTTTTTTTAGATTATCTATTTATTTATTTATCTATTTTATTTACTTATACATGCACTGGGTACAGTTAGAAGCGCAGGAGGGTGAGAGAATTCACCAGAACCAGAGCGGGAAGCAGAGCAGGCAGAAGGACCAAAGTACACTGCTGAGGGGAGCAGCGGGCGGCAGGAGAGGTCTGCGCGCCATGTGGGACCCTCCTCTGGTGGCCGGGGAGCAGCCGGGGATTGAACCGGTGCTGCAGAGGATGCGGGCAGCTTCGCAACCCAGCGCTCAACCGCTGCGCCACCGGGGAGGCCCTCTCCTGATTTATTTTACTGAGCATAATCCCTTCCAGCTCCATCCATGCTGCCACAAATGTTATGAGTTTATCATTTCTGATTGCTGAGTAATATTCTACTGTGTATGTACCACATTTTCTTGATCCAGTCATCTGTTTATGGTCTATCCTTGGATTTTGTTTTTTGTTTTATGTATACAAGAACTGGGGTACAGGTCAGAGGTGTGGCAGAGGTGATGGTGAGAGGATTCACCAGAGACAGAGTAAGGAACAGAACAGATAGATTGACTAAAATACACTGCTGAAGGAAGCAGCAGGTGTGACAGGAGAGGTCTGCTCCCTGGCCAGAAATCGAACTCGTGCTGCAGTAGTTGTGGATAGTTTCATAGGTTGCATCTTAACCCCTTCCGCCACCAGGGGGGCCCTGTCCTTAGATTTTGAAGCCACATGTTTTAGTACTAATGGGTAAAGTATCTGCTGAGGGGGAGCAGCAGGCAAGACAGACATCTATGATGTCTATTATTTACTATGAAATCGTTTATTAAGAAATATTTATACGACACAAGTAAGATACACTAATAACTATTAAATATAGATGGTGAACAAAAAGGAATTTGTGATTCTTCCAATTTTCCTATATGTTTGAAACTTTTCATAAGAAAAAAAGAAATATAGATAAACCACATTCATAAATTAGAAGATTCAATATAAGAAAAGGATTTATTCCCCCTAATCTGTACAATCAACATAATCCCAATTGGGTTTTTTTGGTCTAGGTGGAAAGTGACAAACTCATTCTAAAATTCATATGAAATGCAAGAATAGCCTAGGCACTCTTTTTTTTTTAAAAGATTTATTTATTTATACAAGAACTGGGGTACAGTCAGAGGTGCGAGAGGGTGAGGGGATTCACCAGAGACACAGCGGGGAGCAGAATAGGCAGACAGACCAAAGACACTGCTAAGCGGAGCAGCAGGCGCAACTGGTGAGGTCTCCACACCACGTGGGTTTCTCCCTGGCCGGCCGGGAATTGAACCCGCACAGCAGAGGCTGTGGACAGCTTCACAGCATGGCACTCAACCTGCTGTGCCACCAGGGAGGCCCACTCTTGAAGAAGAAAGCAGGGCACTCTAAGACTTAGGATAAAGCTGCAGTACTCAAAACAACATGATTTAGACACCAGGGACAAAGAGTGCCCAGGACTGACTCAACATGTATGTGATCATGTGGTTCATTTATGACAAAGGTGACTGCTGAGATGCCATGAAGATGGTCCTCGTCCAATAAGTGGTGCTGGATCCACTGGATACACAATTGGGGAAAGATATATTTGCAAGCCTGCTGCCCAATAAACACAAGTTTAATTACAGACAGACTGCAGCTCTAAATGCAAAATTGGATAAAAAATATATGAGGATGATTTAATGACTCTGGAATGGACAGTTCTCTTAATTTCTTAAACAACATACAGGGCATTCCTGGTGGCACAAGGCATTAAGTCACAGCACTATGAAGCTATCCGCAGCCACTGCAGCATGAGTTCAAGCCCCAGCCAGGGAGGTGACCCACATGGCGCAGCACACCTCTTCTGTCTCGCCTGCTGCTCCCCCTCAGCAGTGTATTTCAGTAGATCTGCCTAATCCTCTCACCGCCCCCCACCCCCACACCTCTGGCCTACACCCCAGTTCTTGTATGCATAAATAAATAAACCTTTAAAAAAAAAGCAACATACATAGGAGCTAACCATAAAAAAGCAATTGGATAAACTGTATTCGATGAGAATTAAGAACTTTTGTTTATCTCAAGATCATTAAAAGGATATAAAGACAATCTTCTGAGTAGAAGATATTTATAATATATCTGTCTGACAAGGGACAAAGGATTTGTAGTCAGACTACCAAAAGAATGCTCCTAAATCTGTAAGAAAAGGTGGCTAAAATCAAATGTGGACAAAAGATTCCAACACCCATTTCACAAGAGAGGCTGTCCAAAGAGGCCGATAAACACGTGAAAAAGTACTTAACACTCATTAGTCATCAAAGAAATGCAAACTGAAACTGCAATATGCTACCCACTACATAACGCACCAGACTGGCTAAAACAAAAAAATTAAAAATATCAAATGTTGGCAAAAATGTAAAGCAACTAGAAAAGTCCTATGACGACTCTGGAAAGCTGTTCAGCACTCACTCCTGAAGCTCATCACCACATGTGCCTCGCCAGCAACCCCACTTCCAGGCACTTTCCCCACAGCAATGTGCCTGTGCCCCAGCAGACACGTCCGAGAATGCTCACAGTGACGGTGCCCATGACAGCCAATATCTGGAACTACCCAGATGCCCATCCACAGTAGACTAGATTTTAAAATATCATGTATCCACACAATGGAACTTTCTACAGCCATGCAAATGGAGGAGCCACAACTGCTCACAGTCATATCAGTGGCTCTCAGCACAGCGTCAAGAGGAGAAACCACAGACAGAAGGACACAAAACGTGCAACCAGGTAAAAGCCATATATGGTATTGGCAGTGAGGACCTCAGGACCATGGCTGCCCTTGGAGGGAGACAGTGTTAGAAAGGGGAGCAAGGGGTGCTGCTGGGGTGTGGCACGTACTCTTTCTTCACCTGGTGCTGGTCACACGTGCCTGTTTAGTTTGTGAACATTCAACAAACAGAACATGTGTGCTTTGTGCACTCTGGTTAAGTCTGTTATATTTCAGCAAAAACATAAGAAAAAGAAAGGTTCTGATAACTTGTGTGAAGTCACATAGCTGGTACATCGCTGAAGTAGGATCCAAGGCCTAACAGTGGCAAAGCCACAGCTGAACCCACTGAGCCTCTCTGTACCCCAGGCCAGCGAGGACCTAAGTCCCCAGAAAAGCCACTCCTGCCCAGACAAAATCCCAGCAGTCACCGGAGCAGCCTGTGATCCACACCATTGCTTCATTGGATCCATTCCCTAGATGACATCTCCAGTTTGGCCACTTGCCTCCAACGATTATTCACGTAACGCCTGTCACATGCCAGGCGCTATTCCGGGCACCTGGCATCCAGGCAGTGTGGCAAGCAGACTCCGGCTGCACATTTCCAGCTACCCAACAGATTTCTGCAAAGCTGTTTCACCACCACCTCAAACATGGCGTGTTTAAGATGGAACTAGACACCTGAACATCTCCTTGAACCAGCAAGGTGGGAAGGGCAGGGGTTCGAGGCCAACGAACACACTTGAAACCCTGCTTTGCCACTGACTGGTTGGTTGTACTCACGGAATTCTCTGAGCCTCCTGCTCACCTTTGCAAGGGGACTAGCGTGGAGGACGGCACGTGACTCCCGGCCCTGCCTCCTCACTGGGCTTCTCCTGATGAGACTATCTGCTAGATGCCCGTGATAAATCGTCCTCCTCCCCTACCCCCTTGCCTCGGTTTCCCCAATCACGGACATGGA